GAAAGAAGGCGGATATATCCATTTAACATACAGTATGTATGTTTATTATAAAAAATGTCTGTGTGTCAAAATGAAAGACAGCCCACACACCTATCAATCATCAAACCGTGGGGTCTTAATTCATTACGTGTTGATTTCTATCAACGGGGGAGTAGGCTACTTCAGGAAAGTCGACGGGAGGGGCTCGTGGAGTACTTCGTGAGCACAGTGTGAACGTTGTGATCAGCTCTTTTAGCGCAGTTCTCCAGTGAAGGGGGGGGGAGTCTCTCTCCGCAGCCGGTTGGCGTAGTTTTGGCACAATTCCGTTGTACAGACCGACGTTAACAGCAGCCCTGTCTGTGCACACGGAGACCGACTCTGTCGTCCGGTGATCTAACCGCCTTCTGGAAAAGCTTCACAAGTACGTCGGTACGCAAATGCGCTTTGTGACACAAGTGACGGTACGCATTTCAGATTACGCACATAACCTGCGTACCAGTTATGTGCACCCCTGTACTACAGCAAAAGTATTATCCGTCGGGACTTCCTGCAACAACACCACGCCGTTATCTTGATTCTGATTGGCCAGAAGACATTATCAAAGATGTTCTATTGAGAAGACGATCACTACGTGACAAAAGTTTTCAGAACCGTTTCTGGTCTTCAGTATTTCCAGACAAGTGGCTGCTGAAATCAATCTGACTAACTGCTGTCTGTGCAATTCTCGGCGCGAGTTGGCGGACTTTATTTTGCTTACTTTAACATCATTTTTCATGGTGGGGCTAAGCCATTTCTTGGTATGGGTGTAGCCTACCCCAGCCATACCCTGGCGCTGCCACTAGTGGGATGTATGGGGCGGGCCATTCTGCACATGCGTTAAATGCGTTAAATATTTTAACGCAATTAATTCAAAAAATTAATTACTGCCATTAACGAGATAATTTTGACAGCATTAATATATATATATAAGACATAACCTAGATAACCTCTGCTAACCTCAATATTTTTTGGGCACGTTATTTCCATTTTATTTATTGGATATTAAAAAGATGTTCTGTCACATTAAAAATCAAATGTCTGAATATTCTTAAAATCGAAAAGTGCTCTTGATGGGCCTACAAATCTTTGGTTTCTAGATTTTTGAAATCAGATGAGGTATTTAATGGAGAAGCATAGCAAAGAAGAAATAGCAGGGAAGGGTATACATATCAGACAATAAACTCTACAGCCCTTTTGATTTTAAACAGCACATCTTATTTCACACCTTCTGTTTAAGGACATAAAATGCTGTGGTAATAGTTACAAAACTACTTCTGTAATGATCTGTAAGCAACGACTCATGGCAGCTGAACACATGCAGCTGCCAGATACTACAAAATACAATGCTGTGAGACGCAAGCAGTGCTAAAGTATTAAGCAAAAATAATCCCAAACCTCAAGTCATAATATATTAATGCATTGCTCCCATTCATTATTATTAAACCACAACTAGGACTACATATCATTATAATAGGCTTCCTTGTATATAGCAAACAAAAGCACTGAAGCACTTTGATCCTGTGCTGTATTTCTGGTTGAGCTGCTGGATACTACTTTTTTTTTTAAAAAGGTGCATTCGACTTCTTTGAAGACAAACACGCAACAACATGTACCAGAAATACAAAACAGTCACACCAGCACCTTGTCGTTGGGTTTTTGTGAATCACAGAAATGTCCCATACTAACATGTTCCAAGATGTTGTCAAATGTTGGTAGTGGTTTTGTTGAAAGCCCTCTTCTGCTATAACAAAACCCAAGAAAGCCATGGTATGTGTGACGAATAATACCCCAGAACAACCTCAAGTGTCTGAGGCTGCAGCAAGAGAGGGCTGAATTCTAACACAAACTTCAAAATCTTCATTTAGTCCCCGGCGATGTGTTACAAGTAGGTAAGAAGCTCAGTCAAAATAAACCCATCAGGACTCAATGAATGTCACCAACTCCCAGCAATACAGAAGACAAAGGGTAGCAGCAGCGGCTAACCACAGCATTATTCTTCTGACAGCAGAGCAGAATAGCCAAGATGAAATGGTCCATCTTACAGTACCTCCGGTTCCATTCACTAACAAGAAAGAATGAGGCACTAAGAAAGACGCCTTTTTTGCATCATTATCTCATAATCAAAGGGCTGTACTAAAATTAGGGACATGCCTATGGAGGATCCGTCCCTCATTAAAGGAGTTCAGTGCACCGTTGTCTCTTCCAAATGAGGCAATTTTAGAATGTTTTACAGACCATCAAGTATATCTTTATCCACAGATTTCTCAATGTGTTCAAAGCTGCGGATGGTGGTTCGCTGAGTTTCTACTGGTAGTCTGTGTATGACGACATATCTGTCGTTCCGGTTGCCTTGTATTTCTAATATACCTGCCTTGCCCACTCTTGGGGCTTGGAATTGAATTACTGGCCAAGAGAGGAAATAAATTATGACCGAAATATCAATTTTAATTCCCTTTACACTGCATTTTTTCTAAACTGATGATTACGCTATTCATATAGCAGTACATAAAAAACTAAAAAGCCAAGCATTTTTTTCCCCGATAAGCAGTTATAGTTTCCTTTACTGCTTTTCCTGATTAAAACACCATACAGAGAGCCATTTCCCTCAATGCTCAGGGGAAATGAATCAAACACCTTTATTTTCCTGTATGGAAAACTATCTCTTATTTTTAGAGCAACACCTAGTTTGGCTCAGTCAAAAATGCTCACCAAAAGAGCCTTTTTAACTCACATACTTTACATATCAAAAGGAGCAGTCAAGCGGTTTGTGCCGTTAAAGGCTCTTATTAAATAAAACCACTTTAAAGAATAAAGTGCAGTGTCATATATGTTTCTTATAGTGTACGTTGCGTTGCGTAAAGTGGGCTATAAACAGCTTCAAAGTAATCTTAAGATTCAAAACTTTAAAATATAATGCAATATTAATCTACAACTTGATTATTTTATGACAAAATGTTGCCTTCTGATGGTTCAAAATGCAGTGATTTATAACATTTGAAAGACTGACTTCCAGGTGTTAGGAGAGCTTTGTTGTTATAGTTAGAATAAGAAACACATAGGTAAGGCATTGTAATGCCTAGATGTTTCGAACAGATACCCAGTGCAACATAAACACATACCATCTCAACAACATGGACTAAAAGCTAAATATCACAATAAGTTGTTTTTAATGGAATGGAGAGGTTTAGTGTTGTAGGGTGGACATTTATATTAAGGATTGACCAGAGAAGCAAACAGAGATTTCATGTTCAATGTAAATTGAATTTATGACATATTCACATTCAATTAGGCTTGCATAATTAATGATAACGATTTTGCTCTAAACAATTAATTACATTTTATCTGGTTCAATACTGATATGGGAAGTTTATAGGGCCTACTTTTAGTATCAGTTTTGATTCAAAGATGTGAGACATGTTTTATTCATACTGTACATTTTTTAACCACAGCGTGGAAATAAAGGCTATGTTCTGTCAACTTAAGTTGAGGAGAAATCCTTCGCCAATTTGCTGCAGCAGAATATCTTTGTTTTAACTTTTGGCTTGTCAGTGAGCGGGACAGGAGGGACTGTGTTGGCTCGGACTGTGGAAAACAAGGCCTTGTCATTACCCCCCTGAGCATGGAGAGATAAGTACTGAACAGACAAAAAGTGTAGGGCTGGTCGACCAAAAAAAGAATAACATTGTGATTTCATATTGGAAAACCTCTTCACTATGAACTCACAGATGTATGTCAGGAGTAGGAGATCAAGAGAAAAGCTAAACTAGCGTATATGTTATTGATGTGATGAGTGAACGCTTTGAGGATAACTGTCTTTTATCTGTGCCGAGCCGAGCTGACAACCAAGAACTTGAATAAAAAAAGTACAGCGAGACAGCAGTAATCTCCAGCTTCATACAATAACCATGAGTACTGGAACCGAAATCTTACCAGTCTGCAGACAGACCTAGTTTTTGGAGAAATGCTTTATCACAGCAGTATCTGGATGCTATAAAGACACAGCTTGAGAGTTTCAAACTGTGTGTATACTATGCCCTTAAAATTATAGTTTTTTTTATGACAGTTTTACCATTTTACAAATCTGCACCATGTTTCATCCTAACCAGCCTAAAAGAACTTCCAAGGTTTCGACATCTCGTAACATTCCCCATCCAGCAGACACACCATATAAAGTGTTGAATGGTGATCATAGGGAAAATAGTGTTTTCTCCTTGCAAACAACAGACATTACACAGATTAACAGCCTTTGTTGAAACATACTATTACCACATAAGACCCTGTCGAGAAGGACCAGATGTCAGATAATAGGCGGAGGTAAGCGCTGGCCTGAAGCCATTGAACAAGTAAGAACAGCTTCTTCTGTATAAACCTCGGCACCTCATGGACAGCTTGTTGTCTGGGTGGGCAACCCCCTTATACCTTTAGACTGTATGCGTTGAATACAGGTTACACACATAGAAGATAAGTATCTGTTAACTGCAGTGTTTTCACCATACAAGGTGGTAATATATTTGGTGCACAAATTAATAACCTTAACATTGATTCATCCTGACACAGCAAGGTCTGTTTTACACATATCAGCATATTCTGGATTATGGCCTCTCTTAAATATATTTAAAATATATGTATGAATAACTGTCACAAATAAAATGTATGCTTTTCACAAAACAATGTGTTACGAACTCGTGAAAACACAATACACATGTTGCTGTCTACTGACAAAACAAGCTTCTTGTTGTGTACAAAGGACCAGCTAAGTCTATCTCATTAAACACTGCTGGGGGTGTTTATTGGTTTAGCTGGGTGGCTGGGCTTTGCCTAAGCAGCAGCAACACAGGCATTATAGGTTATAGATTGCTGCAGGAGCATGACACCTATAACAAACACACTGTATTCAATGTAAATCAAATAGACTATAAAATGAAAAATAGGCTTAGCTGCAAAAAGAGCAGAAGTTGCTGTACAAGAGAAGGACAAAATACCTTTTCCTAGACTTGAGCCTTTGTTTTTCTGGACAGTTTTTTGGCATCACATCCGAGCCTGATCCCCTGCCCAGGTAGCCGCCGTGTCTGCAGCAGCGCTCCGTGCGGCTCCTCAATCCAAACCACCCGACCGGTCTGCACGTTTCCAATCGGTCCGAAATAGCTTGAGCGAGTGACTCTGAAAATAACTGCACTGATCAAAGCGGCTGCATTCAGTCCCAATGCAGAAGACGGTCACTGTAGCGACACCCATGGGCTTACGCAGCGCGAACACGGTCTGCAGCAGGTAGCGGTGCCCGGACTGACAGCTACTTTTCGCCCGCCAAATGTGCAATGTGCCGGGGGCCATTCACAACTGAAGTCATGTGTGTGTGGTGCAGTCAGAGCCAGTCGGTGCCCAGTGCCACGCAGCGCCGCCGCAACATTGAGCACTGACCTGCCTAGCACTGTGTCAATTCACGTAAATACATTTAAAATGCTACTTCCGGTACTCGCTTTCAAAATAAAACACGATATAGTTTCAACGTTTGCATTGTCCTCTGCAAAACGCGCCAACGAAAATAACATTTGGTTAAATAATACATATGAAACCAATGCTAATAAATGTATTTCTATTTATAATATTTTTTCTGGACATCTCTTCTACATTTCCGGTATAGTATGTTTTCTCTGTCAAGCTTGACGAAATCCCTGGTTTACAGACGGTGCAAAGGAAAACATACAATGGGGGTGGAAGGCGGGCTTAGGCTATGCATTATTTATGATAAAATAAGGCACTGATACCTAAATCATTCATAATTATTCAAGAGAAACAAGGTCGATGCCAATCAAATGTCAATGTCTCTCCCCTGCAGATAATGGCATTTGACATTTTAAAATGATAGATGGGAAAGGGGTTGGCTAGCGTCCGGCATTATCTTGACCTCTTTCCAATCGGTCAATAAAATTACAGGCCTATCAGCCAGAATTACAATCAGAGATGTTGCATTGGGAAAAATTAACTAAACGCAGAGCATGATTGTGGAATACAAGTTAAATGGCTCACTGCTGACCTAAATCACAATTAAACTATACATTGTTGGCTGAAAGGGCCATTCAAAAGGGAACATATTGATTATATTAGTGGTTGTTATACTTGTTGTTATAATAAATGGCGGTCACAGTTTAAATACATTTTTGTATTTACCACCCCATTAGTGCTGATTACAAAATAAATGATAATGTGCTTAGCAGGCATGAGCTGTAATCTACTTATTATCTTCTGTGTGATTAACTCACAATAAGTATTTTGATATGGGGAAAAGAGGAAGAACCGTTTATTGCAGTTGCCTCTATAAAGTGACTTGGGGTCACTTTGAGGTTTCAGCACAAATCTACAGCCTCTGTATATTTACCTCTGATTTGCAGGCTGTCTCTTATCCTGCTTCCTGTCAAAGAAAGTGCATACAAAAATGCTGGGCCTACAGTTTTTGTGACCTTTGTCCTCTTCAGTGTGAGGGTTGGTAGATTTATACAGTGACAACAAGAATTGATTAGGAAAATCTTTTTTCTACGTCACCTCACTTTTCAGCCTTTGGCAACTTAACTGTACACAGCTATTGGATGTAATATACTGTATGAGTACAGCTCACTTCTCAATTACTAAATTAAAGGAAGGTGTTTTATTATATCTAAAGAAGTGTGCAATATGTGTAAACTCAATAATTAACCTTTGGTCTTTTAAGATAGAAGTTAATCCTTTAATACCGCAATTGCCAGGATAAAGACAAGCTAACATCCTACATCTCAGACTCTATGTGATATATAACTAAATATATCCTTCAGTTGGCAGACAAAAGAAACCACCAAAGGACATATTTGTGCTCTAAAAGGTTGAGAAATACCTAAGGGAGGCCCTGGAAACTGGCTTTGGTGCAGAGTTCCTGACAGTGTATGTGTGTGTGTGTGTGTGTGTGTGTGTGTGTGTGTGTGTGTGTGTGTGTGTGTGTGTGTGTGTGTGTGTGTGTGTGTGTGTGTGTGTGTGTGTGTGTGTGTGTGTGTGTGTGTGTGTGTGTGTGTGTGTGTGTGTGTGTGTGTGTGTGTGCAGGGCCGCCCCTGGCCAACTTGGGGCCCCAAGCGACATTGTGAGATGAGGCCCCCCCCCCCAACCGACAGGAGTGAAAACATTTTTTTTTTAAAACAAAGCAGGCTACTTTGCAAATATAATTCCTGTTTATTATTATTATCAACACAGTTACTTTTTTATACAGTGAGGTAAATGGTAAATGTCCATGTATGTCGTTCACTATGCGTTTACAGGTGAATTTACGTCTGCATTTCCTGCCAAATACTAGCCTCAATTAGCCTCGATTCAAATATAATTAATGCAAATAAACTGCTTCTACTAATAATCATAATCAATTCAATAATATAAATACTACATTATTTTATTATAATATAGTTCAGCCTCTCTCCTAACAGTCATCATCATGTCAACCACAACACAGAGAAATACTGATAGAAATGTGTGTGTGCTTGTTGATACATTGCTGACAGAGGGAACTACATTTGAATACAGATTTAAGAAATATCAGGTTTTGAGCATGTCATAAGCATGTTTTGTCTTGACTAGCATCACCATGAAATGTGCAAATTGACATAAAAATGAATAAAAGGGGAAAAATGCTCCATGTTTTTTAGGCTGTAAACTTTAACTGTTATGTAAGCCAACTGGACAGACAGTTTATCACTCTTCCTCCTGTACATTAGCGGATCAAAGGCATAACATACTTGAATGAATGGTAAATACATCTCCATTAGCCTATATGCTATGCCTTCTTCATGTCGTGAATTGCAGCTGATGTTTTAATATGGCAATTGGCAATTTGTCTTATACAACATTCGCAAGTTGTATATTTGACTCATACAATAACCCACCTTCGAGTGATGCTCTAGTTTCTTCATGTTTTGTTTTTTTTCCCTCTTGCTTGCTCCGGACTGAAACTGTCTTTTCACCGACATCTCTTCACCTGCACTAGTGGCCGTATGAAAGCCGTGATTGGTCAGATGTCGATTCATTGCAACGATGTCGGGTTACAGACGTGCTCCCCTTGTCACCAAACCCTGCGTGATTGGCCTGTAGGGAGGGGCGGCCCTGTGTGTGTGTGTGTGTGTGTGTGTGTGTGTGTGTGTGTGTGTGTGTGTGTGTGTGTGTGTGTGGTGTGTGTGTGTGTGTGTGTGTGTGTGTGTGTGTGTGTGTGTGTGTGTGTGTGTGTGTGTGTGTGTGTGTGTGTGTGTGTGTGTGTGTGTGTGTGTGTGTGTGTGATGGACGAGGTGGTCACAGATAACCAAGTGGTTACCCCCCCCAATACCGCACCTCCCACCTCTGCAAATGCTTCCACTGGCTTTGAATCAAATCCTTCCAGAGCTTTTTCTCTACCTCTCCTCTGCCTTCTCTTATACCTTCCCTCCCTGAATTTTTAAGAATGAAAACAGTAAAGGTGAGTGTGTGCGGCCCACTCTGCCTGCAACGGACTGCAGGGGGAGGCGAGATTAATGGGGCCTAACACAAGATTGTGGGGAGATCAGCAGAGTCGTAGGGAGCCAGAGAGGGACTCAATGAAGCCTGGCCCCGGATCTTCTGCTAATCTACCGGAGCTCTAAGCCACTCTTAGATGTTATGCTAATGGCCACTGACAGATAACAAAGTCTGTACTATTATTAGTTATATATTTGGTCAGGTGGGGGTTGAGATTCAGACACTAGTCATACTTGTCTTTCCAACACCAAAAGCATTTAAAGAAAACATGGCTGGATCCTGCATCTGACAATAAGATGCTCACATCTGTCTGTCTGTATCAGTGAAAGGGAACATTACCTGGAGCGAAGCGCGGGTTGAACACTCTGTGAGTACAATGCAGGAAATGATGGCTTCCCTCAGAGTACATGTCCCAGATTCACACAGAAGAATCAGTGTACCTGTGTGGGAGAAGAGGCATACATTATTATTGAGTACCCCAGAATTTCCATGAGGTGTTTTTCCTGGGATACACAGATGCAGCAAAGGCCATGCTTATGTGTAATTCACTATATTTTATGTAAACAAAATATTTCAAATGTTAGTTAAAGATTGGTGACCCACCCAACATGTAGAACGAGCAGATAGAAAATAGAGTTGTTAGTCTTTTCCAGTATTTGAATAATTAAAACAGTTAAAACATTTTGATAGTATTATTGCAACTCAGAATCTCACCAAACATACAGTAGCAACAGTAACCATAACAACTGTTGCTAGGGAGAGCCAGGCACATCCTTAAAGTTCCTTTGCTCAATCAGAATCAGAATACCTTTATTAGTCCCACAGAGGGGACATTTACATTGTTACAGCAGAAAATACCCAAAGACAGCGTAATGTTACCTAAGCATGCATAAAAAAGTACTAAAGATTAAAAAAAAAATTATAATAAAAAAGTTACAAGTCAGCTTAAAATAAACTCCCTAAAGACTTCATGACAACAAGAAAACAAACATGCTGTTTTTTGTTTACATCTCTATGGCCGAACATCAGTTATAAAGACGTGCATATTACCTGTATTTCCATGGAAACCCGTCATTTAAAAACAAAAAAACAGTATGGAGGTTTACAGCGGTCAACTTTACTTTTTCCTTCATCGCTCCGTATAAAGAGTGAGTCAACGCTGGTGGTACATATAAATACTTATATATTGCTGTTTTACTACAACTATTGTTATAATAGATTACCCTATTGTTCACATGACACAGGTACAGTTAACGTAATGCAACGTTTAATGTAGGCTGAGGGAGCTAGCAGCATGAGGCTAGAAGAGTTAGCAGATTAGCTTGAAAGTCGACAGTACGAATATTTTAACACGTTTACTGTATGTTACTGTACTTACGTTCTAACATGCAATGCTAGGTATCTAGGGCGTTATATTTACTATTTATACACGAGAAATAGAACAATATACAGCATATCCTAAACCAATTTACTTATTTATATTAGACCTTGGTCGGAGTCACGTCGGCGGTACCGTCTGCACAACTTCATCTTTTAGCTCATCTCGCAACTAAAGGAGGCACCACCTTGTGGCACTATTTGGTATTGGACTAATATAACGTTTAATGTTTTGACCATAGGTTTTGACATTACATTTAATTTAGCTGACGTTTTATTTACACAAAGCAATTTAGAAGAAGTGCAATAACTTGAATCATGCATTACATTAGCTCCAAATAAGATGAACATTTAAAAGTGCTACGTACAGTTATTTATATAAATATATATATATATATATATATATATATATATATATATATATATATATATGTATCTAATGAATTTAACAAAATAATACTCAGGTGTTTTATTATGTTTGCCAAACAAACATCCCGTGACAAAAACATTTTAACACTTGGAAATTATAGTTTGTAAACTGTTTATGAAGGGGGGGAGCTATTCACAAGTTGTTACCTTAACCTGTGGATTACTGTATGTCTGAGGTTGTAACATTACCCTGACACAGTGAAAACACCTGACAAGATAAAGGTGTTACACCTTGCTATCTTGCTTTTCCTATGATCATTTCACACCTGAGCCTGCAAATGTTCTTCCACACGTGCCAGCTGCCATCTGTTATGTTGGTATGACATCCCGAACATTGTAAACTACTTTGTGTTTCAGCGTTGTACCTCAAATCTGAAAGCGACTGAGCCTTGAAACCTCAGTGGACCTGAAGATGTTTTGGTTCAGAAAGAAGAAACGGGATTCAGCCCTTCAGGTACTGAAAGCTGCTGTGTAGTTTAACATTAAACCTTCCTCCTTCTGCATCGCTTGTCTCACTGCCTCGTTTAACTGTGTCATAATCAGGATCAAAGATTGGACAGAGAGAAAGTAGATACAGAGGCTAAAGAAGAGGTTCCTAGCACGCAGGCTTCTTCAACCCTATCACTGACTGTGTCACCTGGAAGAAGTGCCTCAAAGGTGACTAAACAACCTAATCATATACCATTGGTAGAGATACCACCAGCTGTTGAACATTTCTACAGCATTTTACCCAGTGATTGCTACATGTCAATGATCTCATGACATCTTTCAACACTGAGTTTCAGTATAGCCGCATCTTTTACCCCTCTGAAGTGAAACAGATTTCATCTCCAAATATGTTTTGCTTGCAGCTGAAGTCGTCCCCCTGCAGCTCTATGAGAAGTGCTTGTTTAGAGACAGGCCGCCCATGCCTTAGTGGGAGAATGGACTTTGTTGAAGCTGACTCCATTGTTTCGCAGAACTTGACCACAGAGCTGGCAACAACATCAAAGTCCCCCCTGGCATCCAGATGTAAGTTTTCTTGGATACATTTTACACTGCAGGTGGTTTAGCAATACACCATTTCTCACTACCTTGAATACATTTATTTTCTTAAGCACCTAACTTTTTAATGAACTGTTATTATTGATATCTGCTGTGATGTGTTTTTCTTGCGTCTCCTTTCTGCGTAGTGAACGGAGAGAGTCTTGTGCACTCTCACAACAAGCACAGGTGCGAGCATGTTAAAGACGGAGGATTAAATGGATCCACCCAGGGGGAGGCAAGCGGGCAAACACAAAGCCCAGACTTCCTCAGGAGAAATAGCAAGATGAAACGCCTTTGTAACAAAACAAACACTGAGGAGATCATAGACAGCGAGCGCCCCGCCAGTACGGAGACTCAGGACGGCTTCCTGGAAGAGATCACCGCTGTGCCACATCTGTGCCCGGCTGATACACTTTCCAGGGAATTTGAGGAGGGGGAGGAGGAGGAGGAGGAGGAGGAGGAGGAGGAGGAGGAGGAGGAGGAGGAGGAGCAGGACGAGGAAGACGATGACATATTAGCTTCCTGGGAGAAATCAGCTAGAGTTCATTATTCAAATTTAGCATCAACAGATACACCTGCTTGTTTTCATAGACGCCTCAGTTTTCTCGTTGATCAATTAAGGCCACCTGGTCTTCAACCTTACACCACAGCATGGCAGGCTTTCAATGAGGCCAGGCCGGGAACTTCTGCACTGCTAAATAATCTGCCTGTGGATGATAAGAAGCTGCTTACTGATATTAAAGAGAACACTTCACACGAAAAACACGTTCAAGAAAGTCCGGCAGCCCAGGAAGGGGCTACAGCTGCCCAAAGCCCCCCGTCTCTAAGAGATATCATCAAAGAGACGGTATGCAGACTCAACAAAAGGTGATCATATGATGAATACTTTTTAGTAGAACATGTTTGCCTAACTGCAGAAGTTTGGACCTAGCTAAAGGCCTGTGCTACTTATTGAAATTTTATTTTATTTTTAAATGTTAATTTAAGGCTGCCTTAGAAACATTTTGAAAGGATTTCCTTAGCATGCTGTAAGGAATACCCTTTGACCTCTTAGTGTTAATCCCTGATGCATTTCTAGAAGGAGAAGAAAGCCTTAATAGGCGTTCCTCGAAAAAATGTAGGGACCCAAAATTGAAATCGTGTGTTGAACATGAGACAACGGTACCACGACGCATTTTTCCTGAGACACCCAAAAAAAATCTGTCTACCTTTAAAATGTATTTTATATATAGAAAATAATAACTTCCGTGAAAGACTTAGTGCAAACAATTAGGCAAGGAAACAACCTTTATGCAACACACCTGAGGAAATATTTCACAAAAAGCTTATAACCTTATTTGTAACCCCAGAATATTTTTTATTTATTTAATTGGAAGAAAAAAAAGGTCTCATCTTGATTCAGATTTGTATACAAGGCTAAGGGTATACCATTTTGTTGAAATGAATTGTGGTTATTTTCTTCTCTCTGAAGATTATCAGATGAGTCAACTGAGGAGGAAGAAGAGGACCAGTGTCGGATCTGCCACGGTGTCAACACTTCACCAGAAAACCCACTGGTGTCACCGTGCAAGTGTAGAGGAAGCGTGCGCCACCTTCACCTCGAATGCCTGAAGCAATGGACCAGGTCAAGAATCGAGACGGGTGAGTAGAAAGCTAATGGCAGAACAAGAAGAATATTATCCCAAAGAAGCGCAAAATATGATATATTCAGTGATCCTGGTTAATGCGTGAATGCATACTGTATCTCTTTTCCAGGAACAGGGCCCTATACAGTCACAACATGTGAACTCTGTAAGGGTTGGCTGAAATTGGACCCGAAATTACTTGACTTTAACAAGTATTATGAGGAACATAAGCCAAAGGTAAACGGACAAAATACACAGTAGAGGCCCACCTGAAGATGAGCATAATAAGGCTCTTTTAGTAGGAACTTTTATGAATGTAATCTTTTTATTGAGCATTTTTTGTCTTAATCCCACCTTTATTTTTAGTTGGACATTGCTGCCCAGAACACTCCCCAAGATGAAGCTGAATCGTCCCCCCTCAGTGCTGTACTAACAGTGAGGATGACACAGTCCTGCCCCCTCTCCGTGGTAACGGACTATAGTGAGACCTTGTGAACATTTATGAGCTGATGTTTTACAGCTTTTTGTTCTACAGAGTTTTAAATAAATGAGTTTGTGTCTTATATTTGAACAGTTCTGTGATTTTAATGTATGCACCAGTTTGTCTTTGTACTGTTTCTTGTCTATTTGTATATTGATGTGTTAAGTACGGCACTGCAAATTATCTAAAAAATATTAAAGCTGTGGTGTGTGGAATTGAAGTTCAAATATAATTGAAGAAATTGATATGAATTGATATGGTGTATTGAAATGAAATGAACATTAGTGATCAAATGGTTTTATGAATGATGTCCTCACGTCAGATATGTGGGATGGTTCCCCACCTAATAAGGTCGAGACTCAGAGAGAGGACGAGGTCTGCCCCAGAGTCATCAGACACTTGACTCCTTTTCCTTTTGTTACATCTTATCTGTTTTCAAACTAATATTACTGTAACAATATACAACTATGCATCTAAATCAAGTGAATGGATCAATGTTGTAAAGTAAATGTAAGCCGAGGCGAAACACAGTGTATTAAGATTCATTTTAATACTATCCATGACATTTATCAAAATATCATGTGTTAAGATATTTGTTTTGTAAACTGACCTCTGTATTTTGTATTCTTTGGAACCATTTTATCACGTGAGGTATTTCAATACACTTAGGTACATGTTGTTCTTCTACAACTTCCACAAACTAATCAATCAAACCTAACATAAACAGTAGGAATATAAAGCTGGATTCAGTGAACATGTGTCGGAAAGACTCAAGTGGATGTTACAATGTGCATCAAGGTCACATGAGCAAAATCCCTGATGCTCCTTACTGAGATTCCTGTGATGTGGCTCAGTTCTCCCACTATCTGAAACACATGAGAAAGGGTAAGCCCACTTTAACAAAACAATATAAGCATTAACTCAACTTTGATAAGGTAGATTACTGCTTTGATATGGCTGAACATTATGTCCACAAGTTGCATATTTAAAACACTTAAATACTATTAAAACTTTAAAAGTGTTTCACCTGTTCCCATGTTCTGTTATGGAGGACGAACGTAGCCACGGCGATGACACCAACTCCAAGAAGCATGCAGTCTTCAGTCACTGTCACAAACTTCTCTCTGTTTAAAGAGGGTCAATGTAGGATTAAAGAGGTTAAATCCATATGTTTTACATTAACAATGGACTAATGGACAAATGAGGTTGCTGTAGTGATGAACCCACAGAGAGTTAACACCTGGCTCTCTGAGTTCTCCTACTTTATAATGACTTTCAGCATGTTTTGGATTAGTGTGCTAAGATATAGAGTTGTTCTAGCCACAGCAGGCTGCTACTTCCAGTCAAAAACAACTCACCAATACCTGCTTCTACAGATAATAACAGAGCTGTGTGTATATTGAAAATGTTTGCTTACATGTTCACCATACTAACTTTAAAGTTGTCAGCATGCTTCATAATCTACAGCACAGTACTACTCCAGAGTTTCAGGCTGTCATAATTGAACAGCTCTATATGCAGGGGGTTGAAAGCTTTGACAAACATGATGACACAAGACACATTTTGAAACCAAAACAAGTGACAGTTCTCAGCTGGTCGTTGTCTAACCAACTGCCAGTCAAGCTGCTTGTCCCCTCTACCATGACAGTGAGCACCTGTTCAAGAAACATCAGAAAAGGTTTCTTGAAGTGGAGTGTAATACCTCTGTTCTCTGGGAGGGCTCACACACTGAGTGGTCGTCACTAACAACGAGTCGTAGATGGCGGTCCGCTGCAGGCTGACGAACTGGAGAACGTGCTGACACAGCAGATGCAGACGCTCCACAGGGATGGACGGCTCATTGTGTCCTAGGAAAGTTTAGTCACCTATTTCACTGCTCAATGGATACGACTTGATTTGATTTTCTTACAGTCTTACACTTCACATATGTTGCTCTATGTTTAAAAATCATATCTTACCAAGCACTTCCAGAAGGATTTCCACAAATGACAGAGGGTTAGTAGCATTTAGTTTATATTCCAGCCCTTTGAGGACCATCAGCTCTGACTCCAGGAGAGCCTGCTTGGAAACATCGTGGCCGACTGAATGCAGAAAGCGCACTGCAGTGTTGTTGTCGATTATCTAGGAGAATGATTGACATTTTAGATTTTTTTAAGGGGTGAGCCTATAGGCAACACATTTGTTCATGCACTCAATCTGGGCTATTTTGCATCGATAACTTCTTTCAGAATAGTGGAAGGATAAATACAAAACTCACATTTAGGTGTTCAGAAGATTTGTACATAAGTTACCAACTGGAGAAGTTTGAAAGTGACCTATCAGACATGTTGTTATCATATTCACCTGTAGTACCTTGCCAAATGTATGGCATTCTGTTCTGTTCAAGGCTACCTTGTATTTAAATCTGCACAGCTCTCCACTTCACATATTTATTTTATTTTTAAATATATAGATATTTTGTTGTAGTATTTTGTCCTAAATTACTCTATATTTTAAACGTTATAATCGTTTTTAAAATAGTTGTATTATAGTTATACTTGTGGCCCTTTCTCTTAAAATGTATTTTCTTATTATGCTTCTGGTTCTGATTTTACAAAACATATGTCTAAAGATTGTTTTCCCTAAATGAGTGTTTTCTCATACTCTGAGCCAGAGTTATTATATTTGTGTAATGGTTGGTGATACCCTTAATATCTATGGTACTTGCATGACTATGCAAAGAGAGTTTGCTTGCTATTTGCACGCAGGTGAAGACAATGAAGGGGAATTTCTCCTTGAGCTTTTCAAACACAGAGTCCTCATAACTTCCAGATTGATCGGCAGCTGCTCCTTGAGGTGTGGGTGTGGCCAACAAATCTGTCAGGTGCTTCACCATGAACCTGGGGGAGATAAGTTATTCAAATAAAAGCTAAACCAATATCATTACGGGTGTGGTGGGGAAAGGCTATTGTGCTGCTCTGTATCACCTTTGGAGTAATTCGATGGCGTGGTATCCAGCCAGCGGGTCGAGTCTTAGCTCTTTGGTTATCAGGAAGATGTATTCTGAGTAACACAGAGAGGAAGGTAACAAACACACATACAATTAGTAACTAGGTACTTTACAGACTCAGTGAAATACCTCAAATATACTATAAATGTGTTATTATGGATTCAGATCCCACAGCTTGATTTAACATATTCTGTTCCTAAATGGGCCAATTTGTGTAATGAGTACTTTAACTGGAGGACACATTTGAATGCAAGATTGTAAGTTTTGTTAAACGAGATCAAAATAATAAAATACGAGACAATACTCTCCAGATATTGTTTGTCGTTCGCAATAATAACAAATGGGCTCAAATGGTCCAATAAATACAGGAAAATAAGATCTGGAATCATTGTACAACAACAAATATTAATATTGATTCTTTTTTTTCTTATATAGAATTGCGTGAAAACAGCTGAGAAGACATTGAATACAACCACCAATTGCAACCATGCAGAGTTCTTGATACTGCCTTCCTTCTGGGTGGCAAACATCTGACTCAACTCAGTTTCAAAGAGGCAATATCTGACATAAATGTATGCAAAACTTCTATTTCAGCATTTCAATTACATAGGTCTATTATAGGTCTAAAGCTAAACAAACTCCTCTACTTTCCATCTGCTCCTCCTCACTGGGAGGTACAGTCTGCAGAGGTGAGTCTGCTCCCTGGAGGACTTTGTATTGAGAACTGCCTTCTATAATAACAGGGCTCACATTACCAGGAGGGTATATACAAGAGTGTGATGACAGGGCACAGTGAAGAAGGCCTGTACAGCTTCATCAATCCCACCTGCTGACACATTTATTAACACTATTGCAAAATGAGACAGTCTGAACCTCAGGTGAAATCATTACAGAATGGCAACTAGTATATTAATAACAGCCGTTCTTATATGCAGTAACTGTGGGCTAAACAGTAGCGACCATAGAATTTGATATATTAATTTATCACAGCACAGTGGAGATGACTGTACCAGTGAATACAGCTTAAAGTATTTAGTTAAGAGGAAATGCATCTATTTTGCTATAAGCAGTGGCGGAACAAGTATTTAGATGCTTTACTTTAAAGTACCAATACATTATTGTCAAAATAATTCAATACAAGTAAAAGTCCTGCATTCAAAATCGTACTTAAGTTAAAGTACACAAGTAATATCAGCAAAATGTACTAGTAAAAGTAAAGGCCTTTATGTGTGTATATTTATATATGTATGTGACATTTCTAAATGATATTGTTGCATCAAATAGCATTTCACTGTTGTAGACAAACAAAGTTCTGATTCACTTTTTGTAAAATGTTTAAATAATTGTACTCTTTTGTGACTAAAGAGTCCACTAGTTTAATTTTTGGAGATGCATTTTGTCAAAAGTATACAAAGCTGTTTATGTAGTGGAGTACAATTACATTATTTCCCTTTTAAATGTAGTGGAGTAGAAGTATAAAGTTGCATACAATGGAAATATTCAAGTATAGTACAAGTACCTCACAGTTCTACTTAAGTATAGTACTTGTCTACTTAGTTACTTCCCACCTCTGGCTATAAGGAGGTTATAGCTACACACTAATGGTCTCAGCTGTGTGTGATAAAGGGGAATAAACGTCTCCAAAATAACGGTTTTAAATCTGACGTTTGGCTCATACTGGTTTAAAATCGGCAAAATTAGCGTTGTACACAAACATTTCTAAATAAAACACTAGCGCTTTTGTAGACAAATATATAACGTTAGTTTATAATTCCATGAAGTTGTTTTAAAACAAGCGACAATTCTAAAATAATAAACTGCTAATGTTAGCTCTCAGTGGTATGTTATAGGCTAGTTACTTACCCATTAGTCTTTTATCTTTGAAGTTTCCGCTACATTTAGATAAACTGTTGATGTTATCTTTGTTCTTTTTGTTGAGATTAACAAGGAAATCTGTTAGAAGGTCAAAAGAAGCTTCTCGAAACTTAACATTTTTACTTTGGCTTGGCGAACAGAAGAAATGTTTCGCCATTTGACTAACACTCGTCTTAAACTGTTACAAACAAGTAAATAGCAAAAAATGTGTTCACTGTTGCCAAAAATAAATTGGGCCTTTATCTCATATTTCCCGGAAGATGGCGCTATTCACACGCATTCCACACCCTAGGACCAATTCAACGGTCCCCAGTAGGAACCATATAACTGCCGTTGGGGCTAATTTGGATGAAACACCATTGTGTTTCGTAAATTCGTTTGCGCAGTACTGGGTGGCTCCTCTAGTGCTGCTGAGCGCTGATCTCACAACATAGGGATGGGCTACTCACAACAGTGAATACCCGCCTCCAGACCTGTATATCAGTGAAACGCAGCTGCTCGTATTACGGATGTGAGAAGCAACCTTGCATGCCCCATTCACTTCAGACATGGCCGACAAGATACCACAGGAGTCCGGTGCTCGTATTGCAACAAGGATAGACATTTCAAAACCGGGTCTTACTCGAGAACAAATGTATTTTATCCGACATATAGAGGTCGAACAGTTGAAGAAGAAGACGCAGATGCTACGGACTCGAAATGTAGTGACGGGACTCGCCATTGGAGCCATCGTTGTGGGAATTTGTATCCTTGCCAAGCACACTAACGTCAACACAAGGTGAACTATGTAACGTTAGCCTAGCATGCTAACGTTACCCAAGGGTTGTTCGATAACACAATGTAAAGCTATGAGCTAGCATACAGTGGCATTCTGTCCTTTTGTGAGTTAAATTATTTGATGGGCTTGTAGATGTAGCTTGTTTTTAGTAAGACGCTCAGTTTTTTTTCTTTCATTTTGACGCTAGCATGTCTGCTATGACAGGTAACTTAAATGGAAAGGTGTTTATGAGCCTATTAACAAAGTACAGGTTAAGTGATGTATCTTTAAAATCTTGGAACGACTGATTAATATGCATTAAGTGTTAGTCACTGTACTCTAAATGTTCCCAAGTTACAGCTTCTTTATTAAGGCAGGCTAGGGAAGATGAGCCACGGTCGGTCTCCTTGATGGTTTCCCGGTGTTACATTAACTTGTATCCGACTCCGGATACGTCAGTGGATACTTTTGATGGCAGATGCCTGCCTAATGCTTGCTTGTTGACTTTACACCGAGACATCAATAATATACCTATTTTGTTTACCTGCAGTCTTAACTGAAAGCACATGTTTGTCAGTAAAGGAAAATGGACATGAAGACATAAGGGTTAGACCTGATAAAAAATGTAATTTACTTACTATCATATCAATCTACCATGGCCATCTTCTAGTCTTATCATGCTTTACCCCCCATGTTTTCCCCTGTCCTGCGTAGGCTACTATTTTCACACTTTTTTTTTGATCAATTATACTTGATTTTATAGAGTTTAATTATGCAACAATTAGGCCAATTCTCCAAGTGCAGATACAAATCAAACAATTGCATATAAACTTGGCAAATATTTGTCCTTAACCACTTGCTCCCCTGCTAGACGGCTACACATTTTTCTCAGTGTCCCAGGAGAAGATTATGGATGAAATGGATGAAGAGGCTAAACGTGCAAGACTGCAGGGACCAAAGACCGGAGCCAACTGAGACGCATGCATCGCCTGCCTGTTGGACTGTGTGTGTGTCCTGAACTGACAAGGGACTTAAGTGGACACTGAAGCCACTGATTTATATTCCATGGCCGGGGGCTGTTTTCCATGTTGAGACGGCGATGGACTTGTTTGTTGTTGATTGTGAAGATGATGTTTTGTTGCCGACTTGTAACTTGTGTCTTTTTGATTAAGTTTGCCTGTCAATGGAAAGGAAGAATCCACTGGCCTTAAATGTTACCCATAAGACCACACTGTAGAGTAATAAACCCCATACCGAACAAATGTCCAGCTCTTATCATGTGATGTGTATACACTTTAAGGAGAATATCTTACATCTACAGTGGCCTTTTAACAGCGGAGAACCACCAGGGACACATGAATTAACCTGAAACATTTGTTGATAAAATGATTATCTGTAAAATAAAAATATAATGTATATGATTTGCTTTTAACACAATTATGCCTGTGTAGCTATTTGAGAGAACAAGACACTGGGTGAAGCAGTAAAGGTGGCAAGAGCCGTGGTATTTACATTTGCATTTATTTTTGTCAACCTTGATACATGGGGTCTGATCTAGCCACCAAATCTCGAGAGTAAAAATATAAAATAAGACATCGTCAAGGAAAGGCACAGATTCAGCATGGCAGGACAGCAGCAGTTTCAGAAAGCAACACAAATATATATCTACATTCAAACTTTTTTAACTTCTTAAAATATATTATGAACTTTGGAAAATCTTACAGGAATCTCACTGCCAAAAAGTTCAGTGTGAATATTTGATAAGGCAACTGCTTCACATTCACAGCTTGGACTGATGTCTCCATTTCCCACAATGCACTAATTATTCAGAACTGCCGGAGGGTAGATCGTCGTTGCTGTGATCAAACAAACTGGAAATATTCTCTACCTCCCTGGTGGAAAAATATCAGCTCCTCATTGACAGTTTTATCCACTAAAATGATTGAACAAAAGTTACTAAAGTGCACAAGGTGCTTGATCTAGGGAACAAGCAATGCTTTTTGCTTGAGCAGGAATTAAGGTTGCCATGTTTAGTTTACTTGTAAATTGTAAACATGATCTATAAGGCATTCTACTATTTACACATGTACAATCAACAGGAAAGCCAGTAGTCTAAAATCTAGGGTGGATTTTTCACAAATCATCAATGAAAAAACATTTTTAATTAAACCATCTGTAGTACTTGAAAAGCATAGTGTGATGTTGTGTTTGCTAAAGTCTTCTGCAAAGCTTTTCCAACATTTATAACTGTTGTACGTATGCATTGATATAATCGATATCGCCTTATTGTGTTGCTGCACAATGTGAAAATTAATTTCGGTACATCTAAAAATGCCAGGAATGCGGTCAAACTTCTCCACGCTGATTATGGAAAATATAAGCCATCCTATCACTAAAGAAATCAGAAGATGTACTACAGGAACAATGTTTTAAAAAATACACATTTGGTTCACAATACTGTGCTCAGATTGATAAACGGCAGTGAATCAGACAAGCAGGAAAATAAGTTCAGTTTCTTTCTGAACCGTGTATTTACAAGAAAGCAATAAGGATTTTTAAAATGAAGTGATTCTGTTCTTCACCTGCAACAAATTCACTAGAGCTAACGGAGGGCTGAAAGCTGGATGTTACAGTTCCTGGCTAAATCCAGCGTCACTGATTAAAGTTTGTATATATTATTTTATATACGTTGAGGTAAATGACCACTGGCAGAGGGAAGCAGTTTGCTGACGGGTGTGCCAGTGAAAGTGTTGAAGCGATCCACCTGCAGGACGGGTTTGACCGCTTCAGATGAGGTAGTCCACAAACACAGCGTGCTCGGCTGAGTTCATTACTAGGAAACAAGGAAGAAGATATGAAGAAGTAAGTATAAAACATTGTTTAGGTAACACTTAAGAAATAATACAAGTAATTTGAAACGTATCAATGCAATTTTGACTCACCATTCTACTAATGTCAGTGGCAAAGGTGACGCCTTTGCTGGGTTTATCCTGGGAGCCGCTGCTGCTGCCTCCAAGGGAGTTTCTCCTAATGATACCTGGTGGAACAAACATGTGTTATAATAAAAGCCGTTCAGACATAAGGCTGTTCACGAGCGGATCCTAGAAATGATCATGGTGTTGGACGGAGAAATATATACTGTACAAGCAGATTTTTTTCACAAAAACAATCACATATACTAATGTTTGCCTTCAAAATGAAAAACATTAAGTTATTTACGAAGCATTGTATATAAATATCAAAAGGTAACAGTTTAATATCCAAATCTCAATACTTGTTACCCAATCAGTTAGCCTAAAATGTGGTCATAAGAGATCACTACAATTATACAGTATATGTTCATTATTGGCATGTTATATTTAAATATGAATTATTGCATTCTATTTAACAGCCCTAATAGTACAACAAAATACTAAAAGCCAATATGAACCCCTCTGCTGCTTAAAATGAGACCAAAGCAAGCCTAAGACACTATGAATTGACTGAGTTAAATGCACTTTATATAATTAAGTGACTTGCCCCACTGCAAAACACTGTGAGAACAGCAGGGGCCACCAAAGCTATGCAGAGACTATGTAAAATAACAAGTAAGTCACATTTGTATATACTTTTATATAAATAGGGCTGAGAAACATGATAACAAATACTATCAAATATACAATATGGTATGGAAGTAGAACACCAAAGAATCCTGGGAACTTCAGTTGTTTGATAAAATAATAGAACGAAAATAAACCATTATAATGTTGCTGTGCTACAGAGAGGCTGTGAAACCAGAGTGGATATCCCTGCTGACCTTGGGGGGGCAGAATGTCCAGGCGCTGCAGGCTATTCCTGCGGGACGAGGGGAAGCCGCTCCCCTTGGACAGGCGGCGCTGCCGGCTGGACAGCATGGTGGCAGGACAGACGATGCCCGGGGGGGGCACCTTCCCCATCCTCTCATACAGCTCCTCAATCTCTCTCTTCTGGGCCGCCTGCAGGGCCTGCACCTCCATCAGGTGTCTGAGCAGGGACACAAGGTAACAACTGTTAGTGGTCGAAGGTTCCTTAGGTTATTAAGTAAACACAGGTAGGCCTTAAATCCTTAAATAAATGTGACAAAGTTAGATTTACTTTTACTTCCTGTAATAAAAATTACAAAACCTGTGTAAAGACTGGGAATAGAACATTCTTGAGGGGTTTCATGAAGTTACATTTTTTAACAGTCTGTATCAGTTTTTTTATTATCTGGTTTACACCTACTCCAAATATGATCATTTGCATATCAACCTCTCACCCTATGTGACCTTAAAACGTTCACATGCCTGATGTTTTGATATAGTCATGCTGTTGCTGTTAAACACGGCACCCATTTACTGGGACATCTCTCAGTTTTGGATTCTTTATTCACCTTGGAGGTGGAAAACATATTCTCCAAGGGTTCAAGGTCACACAGGGGGATCTAATTGATATACAAACAGTCATGTTGTGGGGGAACTGTTCCTTTAATGAATTGCTTCTAGCACCACTCACTTGTCTCTGAGCTCCTGCAGCTCCTCCACGATGTCCAAGTCGTCGCTGTCCGAGTCGTCGCTGCTGATGTAGGGGTTGTTGCGGTTGTAGTTCATGGTCCACAGATGGTGAAGGGCGTTGCTGTACTGCGGGCTCTCTGCCGCTCCGTCCCACAGCCGGCCCTCCACCTCTGCGGCCGCCACCGAGAGCCCGCTGTCCGCAGACGTCCCCAGCAGGCTCAGGCTGTACGCTCTCCTCCGACACCTCTTCCTCGTCCTCTGTCGCTCCCCTACCACCTCCTCCACTTCAACCTCTTCCTCTTCTCTGTCCTTCTCCTTGCTCCCAGCCCATCCCACCTGCCCGTCGACCTCCTGCAGGCCGCCCTGGTTGGACCCTCTGTTGGGGTGTTGGTGGGGGGGGGACATGGTGAGGGAGGTGCCCAGGCTGGTCTCAGACTCGCACTGCTCCTCCGTGCTGCTCTCTGACGGGGTGCTGACGCTGTCTGCCGGCTGTGGGGCAGCGGGTGGGGCACCTATGGGCGCAGCGGGTGCAGGGATGTGCATGCTGGGAGAAACCTGGAATCGCCCCACAGTGACCGGTGCACACTGGACTTCTGTAATGCAGGAGAAAAAGAAGGTTTTCATGTTAATACACAAATCCTGCAAGCATTTCAAAAACATGTTCACCTATAACTCGTTTCCTTTACGACAACAATGTATGCAAATACTTTAAAAAGTCTTCATTTACATCTAATAAATAGATTTGTTTAAAAATAAATTCTACTAAACTGTAGCACTCCCTTTACTTACTTCTTGTTCCCATGAATAAGAAGCTGTTACACCTGGACCGCCAATTTATATGAGAGGCAGCCATTGTCATTGGCTGAACAGTAGTGACTGTTCTGTAATCTGATTACAGCTGATTAATCATCAGAACAAAGCCTCACTCTTCCCTGACTTCCACATATTGATTAAAATGCTATCATGTGTGATTAGGTATCACTCTGTTGTCACTGTGTTTTTTTCTTAAAGTAAAAGTAGTAATCTTCCCCTTCTGCTGGATATACTTTTTAGAGGTTAATAGATAGCAGTGACAATATCTGAAGGTTTGTTACTGGTGTGTCACACAACTGACGCAAACATGTTTAAAATCCAGCAGGAAAAATAAACTCTCATTTTTAAAGGTCCCATGTCATGGCCATTTCTACTGATCATAATTCCATTGTTGAGGTCTACTAGAATAGATTTACATTGTTCAATGTTCCAAACTCACATTGGTTTCTCATACAGCATCTCTGTATAGTATGTGTATTCACTCTGTCCTAAACGGCTTGATGGAGCTCCTGCCCCCCCCCTCCCTATGAGCCCAGTGTGCTCTGATTGGTCAGCTCGCCCCCTCTGTTCTGATGAGTCCACCACCTTTGTCCAAAGAAATGTCCAACGAGGCGTTCTGGGGCAGCACAGACAGGTCTTTTCTGTGTTAGAGTTTTACTCGCTACAGGGTGTACTTTCAGAGTTGTGACTCTGCAGACCGTTTACATGCAGAAAAACCTTCATAACAAACAAGGGGACGGGTAATAACCAGAAAAGCATGACATGGGACCTTTAAGAGAAAACTCATAACACCAGACCTGGCTACCAATTACGAACCACTTCAATAACCATGTGCTAGTCCTTCACATAAACTAGGCAGGATTTAACGTGGCTCATAAACATAGTAATGATTTATTTGACATCCACTAAAAAAATCTTACTTTTTATTTATTTACTTTTCTTTCCATGCCTTAACATATTCAAACAATCTGAAAAACAGTATTTTTAAGTGAGGAAAAAAGCAGGGAAAATATATCTTGTTTAAACTCTCTTTCCAGTGAGCTGAACTTAAAATAAATTAAGTTGTTTTTGAATCAGACTCAGAATGCTATTATTTATCTTGGGGGAAATACACCAGAAATACATGAATTTGTTTAATTAATGTTTTATATCTGTTTAATAAAATGTTTAGTATCTTCTTAATATCTGTTCTTAAAGTATATCTTCCTTTGGTTCAAAGTTATATTGCACTTTAACCACCCCACCCCCAAAAGGAGTTAAAACTAAGTAAATCTCCTGCAGTTCCTCAGTTCTCCCACTGAGTGTCCCTCTTACAGTAGACACAGAGGGCGTTTGGGTCATTGCCCACTGAAACAGAGGGACTCTGTTGGATGTGGGCTTCTGAGGAGGGTATAAACACAGCCAGGCGTGGATATGGGAGGCGAGGCCTGTAATGAGCCTAGCTGCTCTCTGATTGGTCGTCGCCAGAGGGCAGAGCTGCAATCACACCTACGTTTGTGTTCCTTTTCAATGGAACATTACATCCAGACTCGCCGTTACGCAATGGCTCCTGAGGCTCCACTAATAGGTGATAATGTCACCAAGGATACGGCACAAAGAAAATAAAGAGGAATCTGAAAACAAACTCGAAAGGAAAATTGGTCGTAACAGCGAGATCCGACTGAATTTAAACCTCATGCATCATATAAAGCATCAGAGAAATAACACTTGGAACATTTGACCCTGTGTGTGTACACCAGCATGTGTGTGGGTTTGTTTGGGGTGCAAACACAAAAATATATGTCATTTTCCGGCTCTACCAGCCTCCTGGTTAGTAACATACAACACATCAGGTGACGGAGGAGAAACAGCAGAACATGTGCAGAATTTGTTCTTACCAGATTCTGAGGAAGAGGCGTTTGGTTTCGGGCTACTGGTTTTCATCTCAGGTATGGCGGCGTGCAAAGGAAGGCTGAAGGATGATAACTAGACAGGAAGAATAAACATGGTTAGTAAAAGTGCTTCAACTGAAATATCCCTGGCCTAACTCAAATCAGTACCACACACTGAGTTATACAGATTATAAATAATGGAAAAACAAAGCATGCATAATGGTTTGGTATTGGCAATCATTTGGAGGTGCTGTATTGGATTAGAAAAAGTAGGATCAGCGTAAAAAACAATAACGAAAATAAAGAAATGTGAAAAGAGTGCCCTCTTTATTTCCCGAAGTTGGTGTTTTCTGTCCTAATAACAGTCCAAAAAATGTATATATTCAACTAACAACTATTTAAAGTAGAGAAAACACATCGACACATTTAACATTGAATCAGTAAATGTTTGGCATTTTGGCTTGAAAAATTACTTAAATGATGAATCATTCATAACTTTTCTATCACGTTACTAATCAATTAACGACTAACCATCTTAATTTACAGGCTTTAAAGGTGTTGGCTCAGAAACGACTAAATTACATTTTTTATGCATTTTGTGTATTCGGAAGTAATCACTCAATTGATGTGTATTTATGGGATCATATACAATAATTATAATACCAAGCACATCCAGGAATTGAGCAAAACGGTAGTTTACGACTCTAAAAAAAACATAATTTAGGCAAAGAAACTGGGAATAAAGGGATTAAAGGTGACTCACAGTGCTTTCTGGGCTCTCTGGGGGTGATGGGGAGAGATCTGAATTTGAACTAGAGACTTCTGATTGTGATTCAGCCTTTACTGGAGACAGTTCTGAATATGAGGCCATATAACTCTGAAGACTTTCCTCCTGGGTCATGCTGGGGGGAGTGGAGGGTCCGACCTGCTGCGAGAGCTCCTGAGGAACCGGTGGAGGAGTGGAAGGCAAGGAAGTTGGAGAAACAGGATACTGCCAGCCTGGATGAGAGCTCTGAGGATAACCCTCCATCAGCAGCGTATTCTCAGGGCTGTGGTAGACATTGTTCTGTTGTTGGAAGCCCGCTGTGGAGTAATGCGCCTCTGCTGAAGTCTGGTAATGTTGGGGGTACATGGAGGGGTAGCCTGACTGGGGGGCCATGTGAGAAGGTAGCTGCTGGGGGTACCCTGGATAGGAGAGCATCCCCTGGGTGGGCATGTTTCCAGGAGGGATGAAAGACTGGGCCATGCTCATGGCCATGGAGATGACATTAGCTAAAGAAAACAGGGGCTGTGTGTGGGCGGGCCACATGTTGGGGTGCTGGGGGCCAGAGGGGGACATGTTGACACTTTCATTGCTTCCGGGGCTTGGGGTCTCGCTCAGGGGACTCGAGGATCCGGGGGGTGGGGGGGTAACGGAGGAGAATGTAGGGTTACTGGCAACACGTGTGAGGGGAGGATGATAGCCTGGCTTGGGGGAACCTGGAGAGCCCGGGTACTGGAACGGGAAGTGACTGTGGCCCATGTAGGGTAAGTGGTAGTGCTGGTGGTGCGGCAGGAGGGACGCAGGGTTGTGGTGGTGCTGCTGCTGATACTGGACGGGAGACCCTGGAAGAGAAAGATTTAAAAAAAGGTTTTAATTTGATGTTCAAAGTCAGTTTATTGGGTAATAACAATGCAAAGTCATGTTAAAAGGGTATATCTAACTTCAAGCCTAATAAGTGTTAGTTCCTCTGCCTACAAGGTTATATTTTTGGCTCGGTTTGTCTGTCTATCAGCAGGGTTCTGGAAAAACTACCGGCCCTATTTTCATGGGTGTAAGGGAATTGCATGGGCCAAGGAAGAGCTCATAAAAAGTTGGTTTGTATCCGAATCATACAGCAAATTCTTGAACGATGTCACACTTTCATTAACATTGCGAGATAACACTTGTGCTGCATTCATGTGGTGTTGGTTTATTTATTCCCTTACTCGTGAAATTCTTCTGACGCCCTAAAAAGTTGGAACAACAGCTCGGAAACAGCCATCAACGTGTTGTTTAAAACCCTGAGCAATAAAATACAACACATCCTCTTCGTAGTATTCATGTTGTTTCCACATTACATCTTAAAGCTCATGACACTCCAAATTCGGAAGAATGACTTCCTAACTCGGAAAATGGGACCATCCCAGGAACAGTGGGCTTGATGGAGGTCTGCGCTAGTTTTAAATGAGAACCCCCCTGTAACAGTGGAATATTGGAATAATTGATCCAGAGGAAGAAGTTACATGACTCCTTCCTCTCTCCTCAGAGTTTGCTCAGTTAAATTCTTCCTGCACCCCCCTGCCAAGATGTACGCCATGTGGAGCAGAAATCCTTCCCGTACTTTCAAGTAATGGGTTTCCATGGTGAACAAAGACGTTTTGTTTAAAAAAAAGTATCCGACTATAATTGCATTTGTAAGCTGGAGCAGTTGCACACCGGACCTTCATGGCTGTGAGGCATTCAGCATCAATGGAGCGTTCAAGGACGTTTTTCGAGGAGTTAAAATGGAACACATGTGTGGTCACAACTTTTTTTTTTATTGGACTGATTGTGCGATTAAAGTCAGGATTTCGACATCCCTCCTTAGGGAGTAGTGGAAGATGCCAATAACCAAACCCCATCCATTGATTTGCCATTTCCCTCAACAATAGCTCCACAGTTATACACCCCGCCTCCTGTTCCTGATGATGCAAACAAGCCTCTAGTTTTTCCATGCTGACGGAAACATAGGTTAGGCAACACTCTATAAGGGTGGCGGGGGGCCCAAGAAGCATTTCGCAAGAGACCACGCGGTGTACGTCCAGCAGTGAGGGGACACAGGACGAGAGGGGGATAAGAGTGTTGGAATACGGGGGACACATGGAGGATGTGTGTTCTTTAATTGACTTCAAATGCCCCTCCTGTGGGGAGGGAGACTTTGAAGGAGGGAGGAGGCTTTCTTGGAAATTCTGTCAGGAGTTTGTGCTGGCAAACAGATGTGGCCGGCTATCGCAACACTGACGGAGAGCTCATGCTTTTACAGCGACAGCATTCACAGCTCCCCTAAAAGCTAGAAAGCGCCCTTCAGGTGAGGTAATTACCCAAGAGGCCCTGCTGCAAAGTAGACACAGACGAAAGCTTTGAGGTGTGGGGATGGTGGATGGCGCCATGCGAATGTCTGAACAATACCAAGAACGGGCCCTGAGAAGGGGCGGGGGGGGGGGGGGGGGGGTTATGAGGTAGCTGAGCTAACTTATTCTTTGCCAAAGGACTGTAACAATTTTTCAGTGTGTTGAAACAGTAAACAATGCGGGGCCTCTTCACATAGGCACCAGAGGGAGGGCCCGAGGGCCATTTACCTGGGGCGTTGTGGAAAGACTGTGAGCGTAACAGAGGTCGCCCAGGTGAAGTAATGTCTGCACTGAAGAAGTCTCCATTGGAGCACGGGGGAGAGCCACGTAGCCCTACGCTGGGGTTAGCCACACTGAAGTCTATGACAAGACACACATGCATGAATGAATGGATGATGAGCATTCACACACACACAATGATCATGCACGGTTAGAAATGATGATTGAAACAAATGAACGTTAATCTGACATGCTGTGAGAATGCAGTTCACACACACTTAATGTTACTTGGTGAATTTTATGACATGGTTAAAAAAATATGGCAGGCAGAAAAGTCCTAAGTATTCATTCACTCTACTACTCACTACTGCTAAAACGACTCGATTATCAAATCAAACTCTTGTTGGCAGAATTTCTACCCGACGTGAGACTTACCAGGCAGAGAAGAGGAGTGTGTTCGAGGAAGGGTGTGACTGTGCAAATTTGGCTGTAAAAGAGCACATTTGATACAATTTGATCTTAATATTCAACCATGGTATGATTCAGCTGCAGTTAAAAACGACTTTTAATAGGTGGATCAAAGTTGCAGAAATACTTTAGTAATTGTTCTTGTGTCTTTACAATTCAATCAAATGGGGAGACTTCTTAAATGCAGATATGGAATAAATAAAACTGTTGCAGCGGATGAGATTTCATAAATGTCCCCAATATGAGTCAAGATCCAACAACAATAGGTTTTACACTTCCCATAATGCAACTTAGTAAGATGCAACCTACTATGATATTCTCCTTTTTTGTTTACTTCACATCCACATTAGTAATACAGACTTTCAGCTAAGTGACAATTGTTGGGTATTCGTCTATCCACAGAAGGAATTTAACAACAGTTTTCACGAGTTCGTTCGTCCCGCCTCATGAGTCCTTTTAATGCCCCTTTAAACAGAGGGAACTGTAACATTGGAGGCCTCAGACGTCAGACAATGTAGCTGACTCTGAGGCCTGACCTCTTAGACGGCCGTAAAGAAACTGCTGTTAGTTTGTGAGGAGCTGTTCCCATAATACATGTTATTAACCGGTTAGCAGAAACTATTGCTACATCTTTGTGCCAGTTTATGAAAAGTCTAGATTGCCACTGTGATCTGATTTAGTATCTCTAAATGAGGCCTCTTTTTTGTGATAACCACAGACCAGAAATGTCATAACAAGGCTAAGTTTTCTTTTTCTGGCAGTAATGGGCTTCCATACCTTGGTTACTAGATGATGAATAGTATCCTGTGACACATTACAACATCTTCTAGATGGATTTGTGCAGCTGTACTTTGGGTTTAGTCTTAATTAGCAAACGTAAACATGCTAACCAGCTCAATTACGATGATGCAAATTGCAAACAGAAAACCTGCTTCACATTAGTTTGTTAGCATTTAGCTCAAAGCTCTGTCCTCAGAGCTGCAGATTAATACTCCTGTTCTCAAGCGGTGGGTGGAGGAAACAAGCAACAGCCAAACAACAACCATAGCTTTCCAGGTATTCAAGCTCCGTTTGTACACAGTGTCTCTTCCAAAAACTCTCAGAATAGCGCCCTACCTCAGTGCTACTAAGGCCGGATCAGAGACAGAACGATGAGTCTGAGGGCTTGTGGGTTTCTCCCCACTTCCACCAGTTTGTTCTTTATTTTTGTTGCTGGACAGTGCTGGGAGGAGCAGCCATAATGAGCCTTACGGGATGTGGACCATGTAGTGTTTTTCATCAGCTGCTGGAGTGGATCCAGGAGAGATTTGACCACTGGAGTTCAGGCTAATTATGTAGCCAACGGGTCGGAAACATGGCAAACAAAGGTAGATAGCTGGCTGTGGAGGTTTACTGTTCTTACTCAACCGCACATTGTGTTTAAAAACATGTTAGATCATTTTACTGGCGGGCACGAGGAGATTTTGTTCTACAAAATGGAACAGGAACACATCCTGGCAGAACAGACACCTCCTTTAAGCAGACATACTGTATCTGAGTAGGCATTACGTCATATCTCGTACAGGACGGCTCTGAACAACTCTTTTTGTTCTCCCTGGAAGTTGTCATTTTACAGTTTCACAGAATGTTAATCCAGAACATTTTAATGAATCCAAACATAAATTATTCTACGCATTCAATGTGGGCAGTTATGCTGGAAAGTTCATTATGGTGTAAGCCCTGGAATGGGGTTGTGGTTGTGGCAACACATACATGTTTTTAAAAAGCAGGCGGGGGGATTGTTTCCACAAATCACAGGGGTTTATGACAGTAGTGCTTTTAGAAACATTTTGTTCTAAATGAAAGAAGTACCTCAGGTGGCTTTAAGAACCATTAACCTTGGATCTCTAAGGGCAGGCCTCAGGAGGGATTATGGACAGAGTAGAGAGCACTCTACCTAGGTAGGAAGCACTTCTCTCCATTTGATTTATGGGTTTGCCTTTCAGCGAGGCTCACTCTGTAATTTATGACAGTATAGTCAAACAAACGCTCAGTTATTTCCTTTGTTCTGATCTGTGATGAGGGTGACTGTTGGCTCTGCTGCTGACCTGTGAGGAAGACAATGAGTTCACCCCGTTGTGGAAAGCAGGGAGGAGCACCGGCTGCTCTTTGGCCATCAGAGCCTCGGCACGCTTGATGATGTCGCCCATGCGGTGGATGAAGCCCTCCTTCTCTGATGGCAGGATGAACTCATTGTGCACCTAGAAGACGCAAGGACAACGATGAAAGAAGTATTTAGATTCTCTAGTTTGGTAAAGAAAAAAAAGCAGCAATACCACAATGGGATATATTCTATTATATTTTTGGTCTTTAAATGTTGTTAAAGTATACAGGTGTCATCAGCAAAAAGGATGTAAAGTATCCAAACGTGTAAGAAAATAGATCCTGAGTGTTATGTTTTGATATGATATACCTTTATTAGGTATTGGGTCAAATTTAATGCGATCCAACAGCTCAGCAATAAATTAGGTATTCATTTAATGATATGTTTATTATTGAGGTTGCTTTGTGGTATTGAAATGGATTTCATTATATTGAGAGGTGTTGATAATATATTGCGCACCAAATTTCAAACTAAATAAGGTTAGAGTATTCTATATATATTTAACACTACCACAAATTACAACCAGAAATAAACATATATCAGAAAATGTATAATAGAGAAAAAGTGCCGTACAATGGTTCTTAAAGACAGTACGTGACTAGATGTACTTTCCCCCACTGTAAATAAATAAATAAATACAGTAGAAGAAAATGTGCTTCCATGAATACAAGACGTTCTTGTTGTATATTGTTGTGTCCATCCATGAAATCTTTCCACCTCTCAGCAAATGATTATTCTTGGGAAAAAGTACATGAATCATCTCATGTAAATCCACACTACAGTACTTTGTTGGGAGAGGTTTTGCTGTGAATTGTGGGTTGGGGTGTGGTGACCTAACTGTTAGCATGGCATAATTCAGCTCATTTAAAACCCTGGACTGATAACCATAGCCTGTTGGGATGCCAAGCAACCCTGCTGCGCCCAGGACTGAGTAAACAAAAGCCCACTGTGTTTCTAGAGGCAGGAACACAGTACATTCAGCTCTGCCTCATCGTGTCCACTACCTCTCCAAGCCTCACCCTGTAATGATGTTAGTAACGACAGCAACAGGGGGATGCTCACCTGCGTCACTCACTTCACAGACATAAGATATACTATCAGAGAGACTTTTGTTTGATATACTATCAAACAAAAGGCTGTTAACTGGACGCTGTGTACGTTCAGCTGAGACACAGGAATCTGGAAGACTTATCAGCTGACAGAGTGAATCTTTTGTTTATTTCTGAATCCTCTAAAGTGCCAGGAGGTTTATTCTCTTACAGACACTAGTTCCACATATTAGTTCCATTGTGTAAAGTCCCCTTTATTTCTCCATGTGCATTGTGTTCAAGCTCCACATTCAGGCTATACATACTCTCTGAATAAGGTTTAGACTACAGGGATCAAAATGTCAGTATGATCAATCAAGTGTTATGCTGAGAAAAATCAATGTGTGGAATAATTTGTTCCTAAGAATATATGATCTATCAAAAAGCTCCAACTTCTGCTTTATAAACAATTCTTTTTTTTGAGAATTTACCAAAAGATACATTCTACCAGACACATTTCCTAAGGTGTTGATTTGAGACTCTATCAGCACTTATTTATTAGTTATAGTGAAAAAAATAGAGAAAGAAAAGGTGGGTTTTCGCAGCTTGGAATCATCTCCAAAATATAATCAACTAATCCAGAACCAAATTTCACAAAAATTCAATACCATTCACCGATAAAGTAAATAACTTAATCGAAAACAAAAGACACCCTTGTTTTTTTTTAAAAGTTAATAAAAGTGTTTTATCATTGAGCTTCTGAATATGGTACCTGTGGAACATTAAAGGGGCCCTTTTATGCTTTTGGGGTTTAACCCTAACCCTTTTCCTGTAGTGTGTTTCATAGGTTTGTGTGCATGTAAATGGTCTGCCAAGGCTAAAATCCCAAAGTTCCCTCCAGAGGGATCACAACAGAGCCGGCCAGCTGACCAATCAGAGCAGACTGGGCTCTGGTTTCAGACAGAGGGTGAAAAGAGGTGCTGCAGCACAGACAGTATGAGAAAAATAAGGACCTTTTTGAACATTAAAGCATGGAAACATGTCACAGTAGAGTAGAGGCACTAAATACAAATATGAACCTGAACATTAGCATAATAGGGCCCCTTTTTTAATTGATTAAAGTGTTTTATTATGAACTATCTGAATATGGTTCCTGTTGATCATTAAGGACCAGTAAAGGCTCACCATGACAGCAGCGATGTCTTCGGGGTTATCTCCATCCAGGTCGAACTTGAAGGTTACCATCTTGTCATTGTGCGTCTGCAGCTGACACTCCACCACCCGGTCCACTTTATCAGAGAGCTGCAGAGACGGACAGGATCAATGGTAATGACAGCTTTCTGTTTACCCTGGTCAAACACTGAGCAACATTAAACAGGAGAACAATGTGCTTCTGTATGCATGTTTCTGTGTGAGCAAACACGGGGTCATGCACTGTAAAATGTGCCGCGGTTATGTGGGCTGAACGATGCCCTCGTTGCACCGCTGAATGCACATGTGGTTATGCATGATCCGTTTGTCTCCAGTGTAAACATGTCCTTTAAAAGACCACAGTGTGCTGATCCGGAGAGAAATGTACTGCGGTTGCCGAGGGGAAGAACAGACTGATGAAGTCCCATTATCCAGGTGGAGCTTTTCTGGTCCCTCATAAATAACATAAATCAGATAATCTAATCATTCGATCTAGCTGATTTATTTGTTTATGATGTTCTTGTGCTATGTTGTAATTAAACAAAACTTGTGATTTATCGTACCCCTGTGATGCGCAGCCTTGAGCGAGCCCTCCTTTTGAAAAGCTTCCCAGCTGTTCGCTTCATGGCTGTTTTCTCGTTCTTCTCTGATAGGCCCTCGTAGCCGTCACTCAAGCCTGAGGTCACATCGGAGGCGTAGCTGCAGAGAAATACATCAAAAAAGCTACTAGTTAGAAATACTTCGGAGAGGGCGAGGTATAGCGGGAATTCAAAAGAAAGGAGGAATATATTTGTGCTTTTCGTGAACAAAGTTGAAATGACACAGTATATGAGCTTAAGCTAGTTTTCTTCTCAAAAGGTTTGTGAATTTGAAACTTTATTCTCAACATTTTGACTAATCTCTTCATATTTTAAACTTGGTTTTTCAACATATCTTTAACTTTTGGATTTCAAACTTAATTCTCAACATTGGGAAGTTATTATTAAAAAGGCATTTCAACTTTTGACTTATTCTGCAAATTAAATAAAAATCTTCCTAGCTTCCTCCTCAGACCTTTTTCTTTTAAATAAATGACTAGCAATGATTTGGGAATTCCAACTGTATTCACATCATTCTAACTTTAATCTTTAAATGCAAAAATAAAGAAAAAATCTCCCTCTTATTTTTTTCCTTATGCCTTGCCAGAATCATCTTCCGGAAGATACCTCAAAAAGCAATTGAAACATTACTCAGGCAGAAATTCTGAAGTATTTCCTCATGTAACACAACTGTATTGAACATCCATCATCTCTGATAGTCTTGGCATCACGCATAATAATAAACAGCTCTCTGAAGTGTCAAATAAAGCCTTGATGTGTAACGGCCCGTCCACACAGCGCTTCTGCCCATTCACTTTGAATGGGGTGACGTCACTTTTCGCCGAACTGCATTGTGGGAAGCAGAGCAGAGCTTTCCTGGCGTTTCAGGCTGCAAAAGTTGAGCAATGTTCAACTTTTGAAGCTTCTGAAGCTTTCGGTGGAAGCGTCAGCCAATCAAATCATATGCCAGTACAAACTCTAGCCAATCAAACCGCTGCTTGTGTGTCTGGGGCGGGAGATTCATGTGATTGGTTGTTTGTCGAGCTTTAGACACGCCCAGCTCCAAGCTTTTTTTTGAAGCTGTAGTGTGGACGGGCCGTTACAGTGGCATGTCTCATGGGTGTAAACAGCAGAGTTAAACAATAGCATTTAACGAGGCCTGCTCAGAGTCTTTAAGAAGCTGCATGGTGTCCGTCTTCCATGTGCTCCGTTGTATTTATAGAATGAACAAGTTTGAGGTTTCAGGGAACCTGGAGAACATTCAGGGTTTTTATAAAAAGCTTTTTGGCTCAGCTAATTGTGTCTCCTGGGTCTTTTTGGACTCCCACTCCATCCACCTCTCCAGCGCAGGCGGCAGATATTCACAGGCCTGCTGGTTGGCAGCGTCCCCCAGTCTCTATTTAAAAACCTTGGGTAACTTTAGTTCAGAGTCAAGTCTGTGTTCACCTTTAAACACTAAGTACATGGACAAAATAAGATTTGCGTAAATATTGCAAGCCACAATGTAATGCAGTTCTGCTCATGAGTAATCTGAGGCTTTTCGCAGAGGAGGAGTTCATTCATGGAATATAAATAGTGCTTGCTAGGTTGTTATGAAACATGATAATCAAATGGACTTGACATGTGTTTCATTTGGCTGCATAAACTGAGCTGAGTTATACAGGCATTTTGACATTATACTCTTAGTATTGGCTCAATAATAGGGAATAACTGGACGCACATATTCATTTTAAGATGTTTTGACAATGATTTTGAGAATGGATTATGTCAGGATTAGCTGCTTTTCTTTTTTGTCATATCACGGTTAACTGATTATAGTTAGACACACACACACACACACACACACACACACACACACACACACACACACACACTGTCTGCTCGTCCATTGTTTTGCTCTAATGCCATAATAAAGCCCCTCTCTGCCTCAACATGAAACACGGGGCCTCCACAACATCACACCAAACCCTGCGAGGGTCCACGCTGCCTCTGCAATAAAAACACAGGAGAGCCTGTCCATTGCATCAAGCTTGTTGTCTCAGCCCTACAGATGTGCAGGAGGAGGAGGAGGAGGAGGAGGAGGAGTTATAGGAGGAAGGCCAGACAGTTCTACTACATTCTTTTTGATTTTCTGGTCTCTAAACCAAATAAAGACTATTGAACTCCACTGTTTCTTGGTTTGAAATAGAGTAGAGAAGGAGGCTGCAGAACGTTACCTTTCCACAGGAGAGTTGAAGCCGCTCGGGGAGCCGTGTTCTGTGCTGTTGGATACTGCAATACTCTATGAATAGAAATGAAGGAAGTGGTTAGAGAAACAAAGGTGAAAGACTTTTAATGATGTCTTCTTCCATTCAAGGTTTAGAAATAAGATAGTGCTTATCTTCAATTTGGCAGATGCTTTCATAAAATTGGCACATACGTCAGTTTTAACCAGGGATGGCAATCTTCTGGCAATCCACCACTTTGGTGCAGAGTAAATTATTAATCATAAATTAAGCCTTTGGATGGATTGCCTAGTAATTTGGCTTGGATATTATATCCCCCTGATTTTCATCTAGTGCATATATTCTGGTCAAGATTACCCTTTTTCCCATACTTTAATATTGGTCAAAAAATACCTCTAAAAAAAACGAGATTTAGCATTAAGCTTAAAGCAAGCAAACCTTCTGAGCCCGTAAAACTCAACTTCAACAACAAAGGACATCTTTAGCTATGCAAATGTGAAACTAAATGTCCTGAAAAAAATTAATCCTGATTGGGAAGAAAATAATTACACTTTTAAAGCTTCTCAATAGGGTGAACATTCAAGATAGCTTAAAACGACCTCTTATATTTTTCAATTTTCAGTGACTACAAGTTATCTTAGAGGGTTATTGATTCATTAGTTTTGGTAAAATCTTTATTAACCTTGTACTTAAATAGCAGTGAGTTATGATTGGTGAAGGTTTTGTGTACCTTATTATCAGGGGTTACTTTACAACCATAAACTGTTTACATAGCTCTCTGTCAGCACTGTATTAGACCAAGTAATGATGACGGAGGTCCCATAAAGCCTTTAAAGTCATGCTTCCCGCTATAGCCCCCGCCACGCTTCCCACATTGATGACAGGTTCTTCACTGAGACCACTCACCGAGGGGAAGCGGAGCGCTGGGATGGGAAGGCCATTTGCAGAATGGTTGTTGGTCTGCGTGGTGGGAGGGGTCGCGTTGAAGCTGCCAGCCTCCAGAGGATCCTGAAGCCCAGAGGAGCTCAGATAGCCGTCCGTCTCACAGTCAGCTGTTTCAAATATACAGACACAAGCCGTTAGCATGTGACCAACTGTGTACCATACACACTCTCAGGCACACACACACATGACCTGAAATAACACATGTAATGACCCCAAACTCAGTCATACCACACACAAACAATAACAATGTATAACACTGTGGATTAACACTGCTCTGGAGCCATACAGGAGCATTTATTTGGACAAATGCATGCATTTAATGTAAGCACTCAGGTGGACACACACAATGGGATAACACTGCCAGGGACTGAATAATTGAGTTATCCACAGTTTCACATTTCGCTGTATGCTTCCCATGTGCTCTGAGAACAGAACTGCTTCCTGTTCAGTACAATTTAACTTTTTATGATGACTTCTTGATGGAAAAACGACATCAAATCAAATTGAGGGGTCAAAGAACAGACCCACCTGATGCACGTGTGAGTAGAACATGATCATAGTCACACTATTAGTAGAAGTACAGTTTCTGTATCCAGTGGTGAAATGTAACCTTGTGTGTACATTTGCTCAAAGACTTTTCTTTTCTTGAGTATTTACATTTTAAGACACTTTTTAGAACTTTTCGGAGGGAAATATTGTACTTTTTACAATACATAAATCTTACAGTTATTGCAGATTTATTTAAATTTTAAATGTAATGACTACTTTTTTGTATTTTTGCTTTGTTATTTATTGTTACAGTCTGATATAGTTGGTTTTATTTAAAATGTAGCAAAAGTATATGACTTCATTAAAATGATGCAAAAGCAAAACAATGCAGATTGATAAAATGCAATATGGGTAAGAGGAACAATTATGTATTTTAGCTTTTTGGGTGAACTGTCACTTTAAGGACTTGTGGTGCTGCAAAACAAATTGGATCACTTTCAATTATCCAATTGGTTTTATACGTGTTTCCTAATCCTAGAGGGTTGAAATAAAGAAATAAAAAAATGACCACAGATCAGGAGTGTGAACACACTTTCATGCTATAAGAGACGGCTCACAGTTAGCAGAGGACAGGCTGTTGTGGCGGATGTGGAAGTGCTGGTCTGCCTCTGGCTCCTCAGGCTCTGCGGGGTAGTTTGAGCTGACTCCAGAGTCCACAGAGCTGGTGACAGGGGACAGTAAGGGGGCCGGAGATGTCAGGGCCGGGATGGGGGACTCTCTTGCAACCACATCGCTGACTTTATGTAGCGCAGAGTTAATCTCTGCTTCTTCCTCTAAGGCTTCTCGCTCCTGCTTCTTCTTCCGCTCCTCTGCAAGGCGTCTCAGCTTCGCCCTCTGCCGCTTGATGGCCGCTACCCTGTCCCGTATGGCCTTGGCCACCAGCTTGAAGTCTGCCTCACACACAAAACCAAGTACAACCTGCATAACAAGACAGAGCTCAGTCAGGGCAAAACAAAAACACATTTGCTTAAATCAAAGTCAATTGTGTGGATAATGTACGTAGAAATGTTGCACTGATCACGCAAGCTGCGGCACCAACAGTCACTCCTTTGATTTGAATAAAGCTTTTGTGCTAACAACAATTAAATCAACACACACACAGACTGCATTCACCTGTCTTAAACAGACTCCTGTAACAGCCAGTGCACCAGACACTCAGTCCAAACTTGCCACTCAACACATAGTCAGATTACAGAACATTGGACGGACTAGATGCCGATACCAAATTTGATCTTGATGAAAACTACCACAAAGAGGTAAACAAGTAAGGAATTGTGGCCTGCATTTTCATTAAATGTGACCTCTAAGAAGAGGGTTCTGAAGGACATAAGGGCCTGTTGCGTAACAAGCAAGAGAGTCATTATATTATTAAGATGTGACCTCGGCTGCTTCCACACACTCTCACATTTCAAACCGCTGATGATTAAAAGCCGTGCCCTTGAGGCACCCTGCATGGGCTCTCTTTATGTTTTGGAGCACATTTCTAAGTTTCTGCAGACATGACAGAAGCGTTAAAAGAAGCCTTACGATTCTGGACTGCATTAGTGAGGCTGCTATGACTGTTTGGGGTCAAGGGTCAAAATACAGAACTCAAAAATAAATGTCTATATCACTTTTGATGCCAGACTCCATGCTGCGATGTTAGCTTAGCATTGGAAATAGAGCTGTCACATTATCTGATTTTCATAACACTATTATTATTGCCAGAACATTCAAAAGAAAATTAACTTTATCTAAAGGAAATTTGGAGAAAAATAAATGGCTACAGAGTACCATGTCAGACGAGTAAGGAAAGAAACAAAAGCAGTTTTTATGATTCAATCAGAGTCAATGAAGATATGTTATTAGCATGAAACCTAGGCCAGTGACCTTCGTTTATAAGTTCCTCTCTCTGTGCCTCAGTTCTGTCCTGGTCAACAGAATTGAGTTCTGAACCATCCAAGCATTGATGTCTAAAATGCACTTGTGGTAGGCATCAATAGGGCCTTGTGTCATCAGGAGGCAAAGTGAAGGAGAGTGGAGTATAATCAATATAACTTAACATAACATAAATTATTCATTTGTTTATTATTCCTTATGGCTATACCAAGGAGCAGCACATACAGAATAAAATGGGCTGGGCCTAGGTTCGAGCCTTGTGGTACACCACGGCTGATGTTATATGTTAATCACAGGGGAACCAAAAATATCTACCTGTTAAGTAAGATTCACTACAGAAAACCTCTAGAGAAGCCCACCCGTTTATTAACACATTTCTTTGTATCAAGTGCTGAACTCAGAACAAAAGAACAGGGATGCAACACTGAAATGTGCTGCAAACTCTTCACATCTACTATAATAAGCTACAACAAACATTACAACTGAGTTACATTTAGGTTGTCATCCAACCGCATTGTATCCTTATTTTGTTAGGAGGAATTTGAGGCTTAATTGTGTTAAGAAAAATAGGTCAATATTACCTATATATATGCTGTCTGGATATACTACATATCCAGACAGCACTCCCCCAGAAAACCTATAAAAAGCTATTATCATAAATCTAGAGGCAGTGTATGTGTGGCTGAAGATCTGTTGATCTGGGATCAATTACTCAATTTCCTCACTAATGGTTGCAACAAACTGGGTCAGTAAATCATTAAGGGGCCTTACAATATACAGACTTCATGTGTTGGCCTACCATCTCCTGAGACACTTCCTCGGGCACGTCTTTGTAAAGCTCGAAGAGGAACTCGATGGCGTTGTTTTCTTTGTACTTCCCGTGGAGCTTCTTGGTGTCATCCATGCGCAGCCACAGTTTCAGGCCCGACTTCACCATGTCATCCTCCTCTGCCAGCTCCACATGGACGCCATTGTTCTCTTGGAAGAAGGGGTGTTCCAGGAGGTCCTGAATAGTGTACCTGCAGTATAGGAAGACAACCAGTTAGAGAGGATTGGTTTAGAGTTGTTGCACCTTGTACTAAAGTTGTTTCTGATAACTTCTAATCATCCATAACTTAACAAAAAACACTTCAGTTTGGAGAATTGCATCATCAGGTTATTAGATTTGTTTTTCTCCTATTTACATGTACACCTAAAACGGGATGTTGTGCAAAATCACATCAATCTTCAAAAGCATGGTCTATGACAGTGTTTTTGGTCAACATGTAGCGTAAAGATGTCTAATAACAATGTAATCTTCCTGGTTTTGCAAATGTAGTTTTGATTCAGAGACCATACTGATGCCTCTTTGTATCATGTCTACACTAAGCAAGATGTGGAAGCAGAATCCCAGGTTTCTCAAAACAGAAGAAAAAAACATTTGAATGCAATTCATCTTTAATTGCCCTTTTTTATTTTAACTAGTTTGTTATTCTTTCCCCAAACGTAACATTTAAGGCCTTTTCGGACTTTCTATGGATTTTGGTCTTAATATACTGTTAGAGAGTTTACAGGAGTTACTGTATGGGCTGGAATAACTCCCAGAACAGGGAGTAGTGCACTCTATAAATTGTTCTTGATCACAGTATATGTTTCGACATACCTTTCATCGTTGTTATTACGAATGCAGCCCTCAATGATTTCCTTGAGCTCGGGGACTTTGACTTTGTAGAAACTGTCAGGCTTCATTCCCTGTCAAAAAAAAAACAACACACACTTAATCTGTATGTGGGAAGTACTTTCTTATTTTCTGCCTAAATCTCACCCATGATGTGGAGAAGAAGAAGAACTGAGACTTTGTGATGCTGTTAATGAACATATATATTTCAACTCTGTCTTTATTGTTTTTATTCAAAGGGTTTTATTTTCCTTATTTTGTTAAACATCTTATGTATTCTATTTCGTCTTATTTTTAATCCTATTTTTATTTTTATTCTCCATGCATTCTGTCCCTGTTTTTATGCAATGTTATGTATATTTTTCGTATTGTAAAACAATTTGTACTACGTTTTCTTGTATGTAATGTGCTATAAAAAAGTTAATTATTATTATCAGCATGGCTTCATACTGAATTAACAAGTGCCAGAGGAAGGTGCTTTAGACAGAATACGTGATCAGCAGCAATGACCTCCTCCTTATCCACAGTTCTCCTGCCAGCCACTCCCATCTGCACTGCATGTTAACCTAATCCTCGGCTTTGTGACATCGGCCACCAGCCTGCATGACATTCGGCTCTGCGATCATGTCAACACCAGAATGGAACAATAGCAAGAGCTAATGAACATGGAAAAAACCCAACATGCTCTCCCTCCTCCTTCAAGGTATTTCTTGACAGCTGGAGGCAAAGTTTATCTAAAGACATAAACTATTCAGACAGGACTACACACTTATATTAAAGAAGGGAGTTTTCCTGAATGCTATCATGAGAAAGTACTCAGATTGAAGCAGAGCTACCGTCCCTGTAAAATAAAAACTCTGATAAGAAAGCAAAGAGTCGAGGTCAAAAGATGTTTTGCCTATAGACATACCCAAGCAACCAGCTGATGATAGGTCAAAACACCCAAATAATTTGATTTACCAGTAAAAAGGCTGAGCTACGCACTTGGTTATCACATTTACAGAATTACATTTCACACAGTAATGACTGTCTCTCTTGTTATGACCCCAAATACTGTTCTTTAGATATTTCTGCTTCATTTTCTCAACGTTTTCCTCAACCGTAACTGGTATGTTTGACACTGAGCTTTAGAAAATGCATTCTAATGGCTTACACAATAATTTCACCCAAACTCAGTACAAAAACACAAAAAAGTGGAATCACTGAAATGTTATCTTGCATATTAAATGTGATTTAGGAGATCTAAAGTTTAGCACAGATCTTTCTTTGTTTGATTAGTTTTCATTGGCCTCAAAAGGAACCTTTGGATTAAATCTGTTTTCCCTTAAATTTAAATTGTATTTGTCACTCTTTCCCAATTGTCCAAAACAATATGATTTAAATAAGAATACAGTATGTTTGTGTCTTACAAGCAAAATGTGGTTTTCTTTGACGCTGACTTTAATTCCTTAAGGTCGAAATAACCAATATCAAATGTTGGTATTGGCTGTTTTCTTAGGCTTCAACGATAATAAACAAAACAAAAACATTTCAATACGCAAATCTAGGATCTTGGTCATTTACATTTTTTTTATTTTAATTTTTAATTTAAAATGTTTCATATTTTTTGAAATCCCCCAAAACAAATGATAAACAGTTGATAAAGAATAATATAAATTGTAGTTGCAGCCCAAGCTAATTAGCAGCAAGTCTCCAGGCAGGTTTCAATACCTTGTGGCGAGCCCTTCAGAAAAATGCAGGTTGTTATAGAAGCAAACTAAAGCCAATGGTATAGGCCAGGTAGTGTATAGGGAAAGGCCTTTTCCCACAGTAAAGAGGCATTTCTTTCATTTGATGTGAAATTAAATAATTATGAACAAGGCAAAGGAAGGTCTGTAGACAGTTGTGACCACCCACACAGGAAAACTTTTTCCATGAACTTTACATTTGTATATGTTCTGCCTCTCACATGTCAAGCTATATTTCTTTCTCTATGAGACTTCAACTCAAAATCAATCATATAAATAAAACGTTTATGAGTTGGTCTCATACCATTTAATTAAAAGATTACGTCTGTACAGCGCATAAATGTAAAACATAAACAAATCATAAAATGCACTGCTAATGTAATTTATATTACAAGTCGTTTATCCCTGACTGCACATGGAACATTATTATGTTGTTTTGTTTGTGGAGTAGCCAAGTTCACTCCAACTTGTTGGCGTTGTCACTTTCTAACTTTCCAGCGCCTGTCAGACACTGTTTGCTTTGCATAATGTGACACACATGAAAGAAACAGTCTTCTTTATGCGAGTAGAGAGTGAGACCAAAATTCCCAAACTTGTGTTACTGCCGAGTGCTCGTGCCCACCGTGGCGTCATCACTGTGCTTGGCGCCCGGGAGCAGCTAGAAATTGGGCAGCCTAAGGCCACTGTTGTAATGCCACAGACTTTAAACCCACAATGCTGCTTCTGGTCTTTTTTCTAAGAAAGGTCATATTTTTATCTGCGTAAAACTTTATGATAAGATCTGAATCCAATGTCAATTTAAGTCTTAAGGGCACTGGGCTTGGATTATTAATCTTAGACAGATATCTTACTGTCAAAGAACAAGATTTTATTCAAGTATTTCTGTCAAACTTAACAAGCATTTAAGGCAGAAAATATGCAAATGTCAGTTTTGGAAGATCCCTTCAGATTTCCATTCACGCATTATTTTATGGAAAGGAGAATATTCCAGTAGTCTTTGAAAACTGGTAAACAAAGTGGCAATCACTGATTCCACCATGGGCGATCCTGTGTCATGATAGTGGCTAAAAGGCAGAAAGTGGTCAGATACAGTTCTGCACCCTGTACAAAAGTAAGCCTTTAATAGACAAAATGAGGCTTTCATTCCATGTGGGCCCCACTTCTTTCCAAGAATTCAGGACATCCACACGTATACACAAGATGTCCTCTCTCTGGTTTAATTCCAGCGTGCACATGGAAGTAACACATGGGGACAATTATGTTAAATACAGGTTAAAAAAAGGTGGTCCTCCCTCATCTTTTTACTCACACTGGTGACTTTGCGGTAGATCTGGGCGGCGTTTTGGCACTCGGAGTACGGGTACTCAGAGGTGGCCATCTCAAGGATGCACATTCCAAAGGCGTAGACGTCCACCGCCTCGTCGTACTTCTCCTCGTACATCTCCGGGGCCATGAACTCTGGTGTTCCTGTCGGAGGTCAGAGGGGAGAGGTTAAGGTCAACAGTTCTTCCATTACTACCACTATGCATAGAAAATCAAGTTGTAACCGCCCACTGCTCCACCTAAAGGACAATAGCACCATGTTAAACTGTCATGGAAATATTTGGGGAACAATTTATTTGGATCGTACGCCTACAAATAGATTAGAAATAATTTTTAGCATTTCAACAGCTTAATCTGTTGAGATTCAACAATTCAGTATGCGACAATTCCTGAACATACTTGGACTACTCACTCAATTTAGGCTGGACAAGTTAGTTATAAATTCAAGTTCAACTTAAATATTCTGAGAAAATGTAACTTTGAAATGTCAGATATACTCTGTAGCTAATCTGTTAAACATCTACAGACAAATCAAAAAAGTAGAATTGTCGAGGCTCAATTAAGCTGTTGAAATGATACAAATGCTATTGGAATAAACTATTTGAAAGGGTTTCCTAAATACATCATATTTGTTTGATTGTTTTGGAAAGTTAACAACTTGTGTAAACGACACTGACATAATGCGTTATCATCTTATTACCCTTACATGGCAAACATGTCTCCTACTGGAAACCTCCTGTCTTCACTGACTCCTGATGGGAAATATCTTACATTAAAGCAGCTAAAATGCTGCTATATTCATGGTAAAATATGTATGTGCAAAATATAAATAAAATGTGTGCAAGCAAATCAGAAGAAAGAGACACAAATAAAGCCAATTTTCTAAATAATTGAGCATCAAACAACTCCTCTTTATGCTCTTATTAGAGATACCGTGTTGGATTTGGAATTAGTAAAGTAAACTCCTTAAGTGTCACTATCTACAAGAATCAACAAGTCTAAATACAGCGTCAGATAGATGACATTCCCTGCACGTACTTGATGTTGCATGGTGAACTAGATTGAAATAAAAAGCCAATTGAGTAATGATTTTAAAGTGCAGGAAGGGGATGCTTGTGAAAAGAGGAAAGAGGGAATTATCAAGAGAAATGTAAAGACTCTCAAGCAAAGAAGTAGCATTTAAGTAAACTAAAGATTGGGCAAATTGTGTGTGTTTTAGCCCATTTAACCCAAGTGTTTTTAAATCTTCATTAACTGTTAGATTTAAACAGAACTGTGTCATAGATGCAATCCAGTCTCAAATCATAGAAAGAGGTATTTGTGTACGTAGATTAACCAAATGTACACTCACCAATGACACTTTTAGCAAAAGAGGCACTTTTGAGGGTGGCCAGCCCCAGATCTCCTATCTTGACGGAGCCGATGGGGCCGGTGATGAAGATGTTGTCGCACTTGAGGTCCCGGTGGATGATGGGAGGAGTGCGCGTGTGCAGGAAGTGAAGCCCTTTAAGAATCTGACGACTCCAGCGCTGTAGCAGCTTCAGCTTCATCTCCTTGAACCTCTTCAAGTACCTAAAAGAAAAAAAAGAGGATAAGACTAAACACCAAGCAAGAAGAGAAAGTGCCAGAAATAATTTTCCTATGTTTGACAGCCAGGAGGAAGTTTGAAAGCAAACTAGTTTCCTGAATTCTCTCCCAAGAACGGTGTAGCCAAAGTGGAGCTATTCAATATTATTAATACATCATTTAAGTAAATGACAAGCTGTCAAACATTACACAAATATCCTCTTTCTATGGAAGATATGAAGAGTTTTATTTGGAAAAGGATATCCGCAATTTGAGAAATGTGACCTTACAAACATTTGTTTTACTGCTTTTAGGTTTGTATCTTTTGATGAAGGACTTCAGTTCAAAGAGTGGAGAGACTCACGTTTTGAGCGTGCCTGAGGTCATGAGTTCAGTCACCAGGATGATGCACTTGTGGCCCTTCACCATGGACTTCCAGGAGTCATGGAAACGGACAATGTTGGGGTGCTGCAGGCCCTTCAGCATGTCCACCTCTTCACTGAAACGCTGCCGCTCTGCCTTGGTCAGCTTGCGGGTCTGCAGAGAGAAAGCATGGTATTAGGATTACACACACAGTTGGTTTTCAGTTTATTCAGGATATTTACATTAAGCATGACTTGTGGGTCCGTCTTAAAAATTCCTCGACATCTCAACATCTATTTTTGTACAGACTAAATAACATCTGGAGATGAACCAACCCAGTTTGTTGACGCCTGGGGGGAAATTCGTGAGCCTGTTAATCAGAATTTCCATTTAGTTTCAGGTCATTCATTTAGCCAGACATTGTATCCATGTTATTTTAGCCAATTTCTGCTTGGTGGGGGAGATTTGTTGTTTTAATTGGCCTGTAACAATCAGAGAGTTATTGGTAGCTATGAGAAGTTCATTTCAGAAATATATGATCCTGAGGTTGGGAACCAGGATACACATTCACAAGAATGCAAAGCTCTCCTGGCTTTACCACCAGTAGACAGTGTCAGACTTTCACTTTTATGAAATGTTGATATGATATTTTATTGCTTTACTGGCTGTCTAGTTACAACTTGAATTGAGGCTGCATCTGCACATATAGTGGAGAATGACCCATAACCTGTTTGATGTGTTTACATGCCAGTTTCTAAGTCATCCATCTTGCATGATAAGGCTTCTTAAAACCAGGATGAAACTGTTTGTCCATGTAGGATGTGTACATGCAAGACTACATTTGATTTTGGATAAACTCCAAAAACTAAGAAGTTTCTCTTGAGGTGAGACCGTTTTGTTTCCATGCTCAGAAATGAACTTTAAAGCCAAAATGGAGCCAATATGACAACCGCAGTTTAACGGACAAACTGCTTCTGACAATAAAGGTCATGTGATATGATTAAAAGCTCCACCAAATGGACCTTGAGGTGGGATTGTTATGTCAACCATAAACATGCAGTCGTGTTGACAGCTGAGTTGCAGAGCTCTGGTTTTGCCAGGGTTATGCACGGTTACGTAAAGAGGCAGCAATAAACAGAGCATGCAAACACCCAGTTTGATAAATCACTTGGAAGACCACAGGTTCATTCATCTGGGCCACCCTCCAGTTACATAATCACATTTATTTTGCAATAAGGGGACCTCTGACTTAACACATTTAAGGCGGAGGTTTCCGAAATCCTGGTAAAACTGAGTCAAACACTGCAATCACGCTGAGCGAACAAAGACATTTTTGTGCTTCCTTCAGCATGAATGGTCCAATGTAGCTGCTGTTGGAGTAACTGTGCCTGTGGTGGGTTGTTAGTGGAAAACTCCTGGGAGACTTCAGAACCATGAATCCTGCATTGAGGTAGAGTTCTGGGAAAAATGCTCTGTATATGTTTATGCTTACAATCCCCTTGACCGCTACTTTCTCTCCTCTTTCGCCTCCTTCTTTCCCAGTGAAGGTAGAGGTGCTGCTGTTGCTAACGCTAAGCTACAGCATCAATCCCCCCGTTTCAAGACCTTCCTGGGCTGAAGGCACACAGAGCAGGAGCCTTTTTACCTGCGTCAGTTACCTGTCAAGCTGTCATTGTGCATCAGAAACTCAAACATGAGGCCCTGGACAGGGAGGCGAGACACAGAGGCGACTTCTGACCCCGTGTTTTGCTTTTAGGTGAATAGTGATCGGTTTATGACGCGATGACAGGCCACAGCTTATTCCTCATACGCAAGACCTCAGAAATATGATATGGTTGCAAGTAAGGAAAACATTTTAGAGTAGTGATGTTTAAAATGTGAGTGACAGTATCAAAACATTATGTCAAAATACTCCATTATAAGTCAAAGTAAAATTAAGTAAAAACTCACATGACATTTTATAAAAGTATCACAAGGGACCTTCTGCTCTGAAAATTGTCTCCATTTGTGAAATATTTATATATATTGTGATATACAATGCATTCATGTTTACTGTATCTTTCTTTTTAACTTTTTATGGATATTTTCCAGAAAATGTGTAACACCTATTCTTCTAGTTAAATCATTAGTAATGGTAATTTTGGTAGAAGATTATCACGTTTTTCATTTAAGATATAATCCGAAAAGTAACTAAAGCTTTGAGATAGATGTAGTGCAGTACAAATACATTATTCCCCTCTGAAATGTAGTTGTGCAAAAGTAGCATAAAGTAGAAATGAGCGGTACATTGGCTTAGTTACTTCAACCAGTGCTCATGCCTCATCTTAATAAGTCAGTTCCACTTCTAACTTATCTAATTTAGACATCATACAATTCGACCTTAAAGATGGCCATTACAGACATGGACAAAGAGGTTTATTCATCTATAGATCTTGAAAAAAACACACGCGACATGACACAGAGTGTGGCGTGAGCCAGGGTGAGTGAGTCAGAGGGTTTACGGGTTGATGTGCATCTGGATATTTGTGTATTTAAGTGAGATAACAGCAGACCCCTGTGCAGCTCTGTCTCCTGTGGATGGTCGCCTGTGCAGCGGCTGTGTGCAGCACACAGTCAGTGTAACATGCTTTAGCTGTGGCATGCAGCCGAAACACTTGGAGACTTTGACACTTCCAAAACCGCAGGACTTACTAGAGCTTGACGTCCAGGACAGCATAATTGCAAAAGAGTAGACGCAAAGAGTTTTTTTTTGGCGAATACAGTGGAAGAGAAAAAAAAGTCCTGCTGTGGCAACTCTGAACAAAAAATGTTTGAGGTGGAACAAACTGTATATTATTTCATGAGACTCATCAAAATCCTGTCTACCAAACTGGAGAATAGTTCATTTCAAATGTCAAAGATGTGGGAAATGTAGTGGAAAGTTAAGTGGAGATGGAAATAAAGCTTGAGTTTGAGCCGTGTTATGCTTTTGTGCGATTGTTAATGGTGCAGGCTAATTTCAGGATAACATACCGTAACAATGCCTCCTCGCAGTAACACAGTTACACTGTGACAAATAGCTGAGACTGAGATGTTCCCATCATGACAGCCACCAGTTTCTCAGTCTACATAGATTACTCTCATTTTTAATATGATCATTTTCAATTAACTTTATGATTTATCTTTTAGTCTCAAGCCCCGTGGCAATTCCCAAAGAAGGAATCCTCTGTTGAAAGCTATCTAACTTTCCCACCGGATATTTGATTGCATCTATCTGTCCCCAACGCTCTCTTTCCCCTCTCCTCTCTGGAAAAATGAGGCCACAAAACATTGGGCAACTTTTGAGAAAGCTATCCAGGGGGTAGCCACATAAACAAACCATCGCCATTTTGAATAGAGAAGCTAATATATCCACAAAAACAGTCTAGATTAATTGGTGTGTGAACGTGCCTCTGGTAAAAGTTTTCACATACGGCCAGCTGGATATTTTATTCTTAGCTGCTGCTGGGAGGTGTGTGTGTGTTGAGTTAGGGGGTCTGCACTGGCCGGGGTTGGAAATATTTGGGCTGGGTGCCACATAAGTGGAGTTACATAAGCTGTGTTGATGGTAGAGGAGCCACTGGTATTAAGAAGTCCCTGTCAGCGGTCCTATTATGACAACCAGGACATGAACACAACATGTCGGCACACATTCGCACCAAACCAGACGGTGTGCACTGCCGCTTATAACGGGAATGATACAGATACAGTAAGTCTGACCAGGATTGGAAAAACTTCCAGTCAGTGTGGACAGACTGTGGGATCTGTAGGAAACTTGACTAAATACGGAGAGAAAACTAGGGCAAGTGAAAAATGTATCCACTTATACCACTTATAACATGCAGGGATGTGTGTTGAAGGTTAAAGCTTGGGTTTCAATGCAGGTCTTCATGAATACTTCGATCTGCATTGAAATTTATGTTAATCATAGTATATTTTCCCATGAAAACACCAAAACTATGTGTTAGTGTGTCTCTTTATATTTTACAGATACACATTAGTATCTACTGAAGACATACATCTTGTCACAAATATTACGTTTGAGTTATTTCCATAAACTGTTGGGCACTGCGGTTTTTAGCAAACATTACTCAAAGAAGAGAACATTTGTTTGTTGGGTTTTAGTTTGGGACTATTTTAAGCGGTGGATTAACACACGTTCGATAGGTATTTATACTGTACCACAGCAGGACTGTGAATTTGGGATTAACTCAAAACTAGTGCCCATGTTTGTTGTGAGGACCGAACATGTGAGGATACAAAGCTGTCCCTGTTAGACTTCTCAAAAAACAATGAAGCTCTATGGCAAAGAAGAAAAAGGTTATAACACACTTTAGTAGGGTCTCATTTTTTCTAGCGGCCGTTGTATTTGTTGACAATAAGATGAAGAGAAAATGAGGACATTTGGGCTGGACAATAAATTGGTCAATTGAATAACACAGTAATGATTAGTCAACCCTGATTATAAATATTAGTGGCAGCCCTGGGGAAAGCAGCTACAAATAGTAGATATGGAGCATGGGATCAAGGCAGACAGAGACTTTGATCATGAAATGTCACGGAACAATTTTGAATGTATTCCAGACATAATGAAAATCATCTGGCATACTTTCCCATCTACCTTGACCTCAGCTTGAAGCCTTTTAGAGACTAAAAGGTATTCTCTCCGCTCTTCTTCCTGTCATTAACATATTTGAGAGGGCTGTTTGCAGGCCATCACTCCTGAATTCCAGATGCTGACAGGGAAGAAGCCCTGCAGATAAAGAGCAGAGACCTTCTGATGACAGAGGCAGGAGGAAACCTGCACTGTCTCAGAGGTGGTGACGTCCAGCTCGCCAAGATATGGGGATTAAGGTCAAAAGGAGGGAAAAACCAGTCTGACCTCATGCCTCTAACACTGACATACCCATTTTGGCTAACGTGCGCTTTGTGTAAACATGCACGTAGTCACCTACACCGGTACAGTGCTGCATTTAGATGTTTGCAGGTGAGAACTGAAGTGGCAGTGTGCTGGTTCCAACAGAAAATGTTCTGTAAACGGAGCAGGCAGAGGGAGGTTAGCCATTCATCTCATCAGGACGCTGCTGACTGCCCTCACACCGACAACCTGACCTGACTTGTGGCGCCCGGGCTAATCACCTGCCTTAGAGCTATCC